GCATTCCGGACGTCGATCCTGGGCTCATCTTCAATGCGGCGATGGGTGACTTCGGTTGATATGGGTACTAGGGCGTTGGCTGCCCATGATCCCTCAGTGCGGGGCTCTCCTGGTGCTTGGTTCGCTGGAGCTGGGTTCCTAGTAGTCGGCATTTGCGAAGTCCTCGATGTCGACATTAGCTGGGCGTACCTGCGTTGGTTTCGGTCCCGGGTTACCTCGAAGTTTGTCACTAGCTGGGTCAACTTTGTCAGAGTGTCAAACTCGTGCCGTCGCGTGAAAAGTTGATATTCTGGGAGGAGGTTTTCGTATATCCGGTTTAATTCCTGGGTCCCGTCGTAGCGGGCTCGGCGCATCATCAGGCGTAGGCTTAGAGTAAAGTCCTTGAAGCTCTCCCCTGGTCGTTGGGTCTTGGCCCGGATCTCGTCCTCCAGAGTTTGAAAATAGCGTGGCGGCAAAAAGAAATCCAGAAATTCTGACCTAAATTCCTTCCACTGGGCTTTCTGTAGTTGGCTGACTCGAAACCAGTCTCCGGCTCGGCCAACTAATATGCCAGATAGCACCCTTGGCAACTGGTCCTTCTCGATCTGGTAGGCGTCCGCTCGCTCCTCTAGTTGCTCCAGGAAATGTAGGGGGTCGCCAGTCTCGCCATTGAAGAAAACGCCCCATGTCCGTAGCTTATCCGCCAGGCCGAACTGCAGCGCTCGTTCGCTGTCTGTTCGCAGAGAGGATCCAGGCGTTCCGGTCGCGCTGCGTCCAAGTGATAAATGCCCGCTGGTCCCGGCTGAGGGAACTTGTAGCAGGAGTTTGCCAACCTGTTGCTCCATCTTCCGCTGCCTGTCATCCACGTCACAGTCCGAGTGGTTCGGGGAAGGGTCACGTGAGTGGTCACGGGATTTGGCTTTGTATGTTAGCTCCAGCTCGGCTAAGCGCTCCAACCGCTCCTTGGGCAACTCCGCCTGGTCCACGTATGCGGACATCCGTTTCCGTAGGTCCGCCAAGGTGCCTTCTGGGGTTAACCCAAACTCCTTGAAGATGTCCTCCAGTTGCTCTTTCTTGACGTCGTAGATCCACTGCTTTCCCATAGTGTGTGGGCTCAGCGTGAGGACTTTGGTGAAATCTGTGGTTTAACTTAGCGCTAAAGTTCTGGCGTGCGGCTAGTGCAAGGTGATTGAGCAAGATGTGGTGATGGGTGATGCCCTACTCAGCATGCAGTCGGACAGAAATTTTCCTAAGGTGGCTATCGAGTTTCTCTTTCCGTGACAAGGATTTCCCGGGCTCGGACAATGGTAATGTGACCCCTTCGAGCTCAAATTATCTTATTCCAACTGGAAAAATTCTTTTTTTTTCCAAAAAAATAAAACTGGTGACGTTTTAAGTCACGAAGGATGTAATCCTCTAATTATCCTGATTCCCTGTTAGTCCCTGTTCGGGCGCCATCTGTAACGTAGTTTCCTGGCTGGGATATGGCTCAGTCCGGCCAGGGTCGCTTACAGAAAAATTTATAAGTTGGGGACTTTGGAAATTTTTGTAGAGGGTGAGCCGACTCAAAGGTGGAAGTTGTCGGGCGCACGTTAGGGTTATGTAATCGGGCTCGTAGGGGAAGATTTTGGGAAAACAACCGGGTGGGTCGTCGGTAATGGTACACCAGTGGGAGCAGAGGCTTGACGCCTGGCTGCGATCCCCGAAGGATGCACGTGGGGGTGGGTAGTGCTACACTAGTGGGAGCAGAGGCTTGGCGCCTGGCTGTTATCACCCAAAAATGCACACGGGAACCGGGAAATAGTACACCAGTGGGAGCAGAGGCTTGGCGCCTGGCTGCGATCACCGAAGGGTGTACGTGGGGGTGGGTAGTGCTACACTAGTGGGAGCAGAGGCTTGGCGCCTGGCTGCGATCACCCAAAAACGCACACGGGAACCGGGAAAATGGTACACCAGTGGGAGCAGAGGCTTGGCGCCTGGCTGCGATCACCGAAGGGTGCACGTGGGGGTGGGTAGTGCTACACTAGTGGGAGCAGAGACTTGGCGCCTGGCTGCGATCACCCAAAAATGCACACGGGAACCGGGAAAATGGTACACCAGTGGGAGCAGAGGCTTGGCGCCTGGCTGCGATCACCGAAGGGTGCACGTGGGGGTGGGTAGTGCTACACTAGTGGGAGCAGAGGCTTGGCGCCTGGCTGCGATCACCGAGAGATGCACGTGGGAATGGGTAGCTAGACGCTAGTGGGAGCAGAGGCTTGGCGCCTGGCTGCTAGCACCCAAAATATACACGCGAATGGGGTTTAATAGACACGCAGGTTTTCAAGTTTCGGATATAATATTTATTGAATGAGAACCTATGGGTCCCTGCCTATACCGCACTCCTTGATTTAACGCTACTCACTCAGACAGATTCGGTCAACACGAAACAAAATCCAACGTTTCTTGGCGGCAGATAAAGCTGCTATTCGCTGCTTCTGGTGGCGGGTTGTTGTATCCAGGGAAGGCGCGAGACAAGCACGATGGCACGTGGTTCAAGAATCGCGAGCACGTGGTTCCAAGACGAGTCGGTACTGGTTGTCGCGGCGGACTGGGGTCGCGAGCGATCGCGTGTGGTCTCCTTCAAGCTCTGGTCACAACTGACTTCTCCTTGTCCCAGTTTTAAAGCCGCGGCCCAAAGTTATCCTCCTTTCTTCATTCTCGCTGCTTCTGCCCTCTGCTCGGCATGCTACTGTGGTCTCGCTCTTACACTTACTGAGTGTTTCGTAGATAACTCTCTGGAAAGTTCTGTCTCGATCTGCCGCCTTCGTTGATCCAGTTCGGTCGCTCACGCTGCTCTATGCCTCCGCTGCTGCTGTTCCCTCTCTCCGCTGCTGCTCTCTCGTTTCTATGCACCCCCCTACACCCTGCTAGCTAGAGATGGCCGTGGTTATCTTAATAATTATTTATTTATATTATGGTTCGGGAACAACTGGAACTTCATGTTCTTAAATTATAAGGAACTTTGCGTGTTTTTGTACGGCCAATTCGGGCCGTTACACTTGTCGCAGGTCGGCTCAACATTTTGTAAAATTTTAAAATTGGCGCCAGTTGATTTGTTTACTGTTTTAACCTAGTACTCAGTACGACGAAACCTGCTAGCTAACCATAGGAGTAAGCGAGAGGCAAATAGGTAGCTAACGCCATTAGCTGGGAAATTTTTTTCACCGCGGTACTCAGTTGAGCTAAGGAAATGGAAAGGAAATACCGAAAAAATACCAGATTTAGGAGATGAATTCCGATGAACGCCTTTAGCCGCGGCCCAAAGAATAAAAAATTTGATCTTTGGCTGTGTATGGGCAGAAGCGGTGTGTCAATAAGAAATTATAAATGGAAGGAAACCCTAAAATCCAATGGAAAACTGACTGTAGGAGTTGCGGCAATACCTATCTCCATCGCAACAGCAAGTTTAAAGCTTCCAACCCAGGTCGGCTCAACATTTTGTAATATTTTAAAAATGGCGCCAGTTAATTTGTTTGCTGTTTGTGAACCCAGCTGGTTTAAAAAATGACCATGCTACATGCAAAGCCGGTGAACTCTGAAAACTTCGGTCACACTACAAAAGAATAATATTTTTCAACTAGTGAAACTCTTAGCCGACCTGAGTACTAGGCTTCACAAAATATTGAGCGACCAGGTCGCAAGTTTTAAATGTACTGTTGGCAAGGCGTTATGTGTTGCCGCAACTCCTACAGGAGAGACAAGAGAGAACGCTATAGTCGGGTTGGTGTCCCAACTATATAATATTCGTCACTCGGCTAAAGGAAGTGCGAGGAAGATGGATATTTAAAATTGTGATTGCGCATAACTTTTTAATGAATGGTCCGATTTAAAAAAATGTCTTTTACATTTCGATAGGTATAAATATACACAACGAAATTGCATTCAAACTTCTCGGAAATCTTAGAGGGGAGCTTGGCTGAAATAAACTTGCGCTGCGTAGGAGGCCCAAGAGTATGTGTGGAAAATCTAAACCTTCTAGCTTTTGTAGTTTCCGAGATCTCAGCGTTCACACGGACAGACAGACGGACATGGCTAGATCGACTCGGCTAGTGACCCTGATCAAGAATGTATATACTTTATTATGGGGTCGGAAACGCTTTCTTCTAGATGTTACATACTTTTGCACGAATACAATATACCCTTTTACTCTAAGAGTAACGGGTATAAAAATAATATTTGAGCACTTTACTTTGTACAGCCCAAAATGTCTGATTTCATGGCCATACACACTATTAAATTTTGAACCGTAATGATTTAACCAGTTACAGTGATTTGAATTATAAAGTTTAGATTTAATGTTTATCTTTATCAATGTCATCTTATCCAAACAAACCCCTATAAATGTATATATTTTTGTCCCTTTCTAAGCCTTTAAAGAATGCTCTAATAAATGAGCCGAACAATGTCGTGGAATAACCGCATAAATATTGGCATGGGTTTCTAAAATTCGATTCTTTTTAATTAGACAAAATTAACTTCTTGTATGTATTCTGTGAAACCCTATCCGATATTTCGAGTAACAGACACAAAAACTTGGGCTAAAATTCAATATTTATTGCGGTGGCAAAGTTTTCTACATTTAATTAATGTATAAAAGTTGATATCAATAGGTGCATCCACCGTCTTGATCTCCACAAACCACAAACATCTGCTGAATAGGTATTAACAAACTATGCATTTGTTGCACTAAGGGCCGTTTTCTCGTCCACTTGTTAAATTTAAAGTAGGGTTGGTTAAAGCAATGATTTCCCATACGATTTCAACGTTTAAGCCCTACTTTAAACACACTACTTTAACAAACGGAGGAGTAAACGGTCCGATTTACTTGAGTATAATTAATGGATAACCTATTGGTGGCAGGACATCTACCAATAACAATGCTATTCTACACCCTTGTTTCGCATTGCACCGTACCTTTGAATTATAAACTTACAGGAATGATTTACAAGGTATACAAATAACATCGTATCTCTGATACCCAATTATTTTCAAGATCCAAATAAATTATTGATTATTTAATTTTCCGATTATGTTAACAATTGGTTTACACAACTTAATTTTCATACATCTAACTTAAAAATAAAAATGATCCGAAGAAAGATTCACTGTTCTACCCGTTCGCTCCTACCATCATTTACCGTATTTCTGTGGAGTTATTACCTAAATCACAATCATCGACAAATTCAACGTGCGTGAATGGGAAGTGACCATGTCTCCCGTTTAGTTCCCCCTCCCATTGTCCATTTATATTTGTTTTAGTGACTTTAATAATATCACCAATTTCCAGTTTCAATGCAGTCTTATCGTAGGCGTTCGGAACCCTTGACTGTTTTACGCGGGCGTATGCGGGCAGTTTGCGCTAAAATATAAATATTAAAAATATGTTAATGAAAAAATGTACTGCTTAGTACTTACGTTTAAATCGGTCCTCTTTAATGTGCTGTTAAGCAAGTGGGTAGATGATGAATTATTCTTTAATGTATCTTCGTCTATAAAACCCTCATGCTAAAAAAAGAAAAAATATCTAATAACTGTTTAGCACTAAATGAAAACGTTAATATTAATTCATAATATATCAATAGTAGAGCCCTGCACAAGTAAACTGACTCGCTTGTCAAACCTTAAACCCAACCGACCTACTTGAAACCCAGTTGGCTTGGGTCGTTTGGGTTTGGGTATTTGGGTAAATGAGTCAATTTTTACCCAAACCCAAACACTCAAAATAAAGACAGGTTAAATAGATCAAGTCAAACAAATTTACAGGTCGGTCCGGGTTGGGCTTTAAGTAAACTGTTGTAGTACATTTTATATTAAATTTTTATACCCGTTACTCGTAGACCAAAAGGGTATATTAAGTTCGTGCAAAAGTATGTAACAGGTAGAAGGAAGCGTTTCCGACCCTATAAAGTATATATATTCTTGATCAGGGTCACTAGCCGAGTCGATCTAGCCATGTCCGTCTGTCCGTCTGTATGAACGCTGAGATCTCGGAAACTACAAAAGCTAGAAGGTTGAGATTTTCCCCACATATTCTTGGGCCTCCTACGCAGCGCAAGTTTATTTCAGCGCCACGCCCCCTCTAACGCCCACAATCGCCCACTAACGATTTGAAAATGTGTCCGGCGCCCACATCTTTAAAGATTTCCGAGAAGTATAAATGCAATTTTGTTGTGTATATTTATACCTATCGAAATGTAGAAGACATTTTTCAAATCGGACCATTCATTAAAAAGTTATACGCAATCAAAATATCTACATATATCTATCTCCCTCGCACTCCCTTTAGCTCAGCTACGATTATAGTCGGGACACGAACCCGAGTACAGCGTTCGCACTTCCTTTAGCTGAGTGACGGGTATTAAATAGTCGGGACACCAACCCGACTATAGCGTTCTCTCTTGTTTATATTAAATTTGTTATATTACATTTTTTATATTAAATTTCATGGACTGAAAATAACTTATTTAAATAAGTGTTATGAGTTAAAAACAAATTTAAAGCCATAACAGAGTCCAAAAATTTTGGTAAAAATACCACTTAATTAGTTTAGCTCGGCAAATGGGAAAACTTAACAAACCTTTTTTTCAATTTGTGTAATAAAAATTGAAAATAAGTCCTATCCTTGAATTTTATTATATCGCGGTTTTTTGAAAAGTCGATGTAGAATATATCTTTCTCATTTCTTTAGTTTTTAGTGTTATTTGGTTAGGGCTAGTACTCAACCCAACAAAAAGTCGTCCAAAACAAAAACTTCATATGAAACAAAATTTTTTGACGTTGTTTTTCATATGAAGTTTTTTGTTTTGGACGACTTTTTGTTGGGTTGAGTACTAGCCCTTAAGTCGAAATAAATAGTTTATAAAAGTTTGGAATACTTTCTTGTGTGAGTTTTATTGACTTTTAAAAGTGTCCCAACTTACAAACCACCTTTTCAAACAGTCAATTTTTGACACTTTAGTTTGAAGCCAAAGGACCAACTTTCATAAGCGAATGTCGAAATGGTAGTATAAAAACAAAAGGTGTACCAACCTACAGATATCTCCCCTATGATTTTGGCTGTTTAAGTACACTGTGTTACAAAATGTAACCTTTTTTTATTTATTTAAAAACAAGAGAAAACGCTATAGTCGAGTAAAATTTTTATTTTCTTAAGTTTTTTATGGAATCAGCAGCAAACGCTTCTTCTGGGCGACTCTGCTTTTATACCCATCCATTTTTTTGCGGGATGAAAGGATTGTGGTGAAACGGATCTCTAGTGGTAGGCGAAGGGTTTAGCAGTCCATTCTGCAAAAAACCCTGCAGGAAAAATGCTAACTAGTCCGAAAATCAATTAGTTGTACAACTACTAAAAAAGCTACCGGAATTTTTCTCGATGCATTTCGGCTTAGAAAATGTGTGCTAGTCGAAAAAATAAATAGTACAAAACTAGTAAAATAGAAACTTGCCTCGGACTGGAACCTTTTTAACAAAAAAAAACATTAAAAATATGTAATTGGTAGAACAAATACATGTTAACGTATAGTTAAAAGGCAACTGGAATTTACCTAGTTGCATTTATAATTATTTAATATATTTAAATACATAATAACAATCATAATTCCTTTAAGGGACCGCACCAATTAGGAGAGCGTCAAATTAAACATCTTCAAGTACAAGTAAAATCCAATGAATTAATGGTTGATAGACCAGATTTTTATATTTTTCGAGAAAATATTTTTTTTAGTGTAGTTTAACAGCTGTAACCGTAAATTAAACCAGTTCGTTACATGAAAATGGATAACTTGCACTAGTTAACTTTCCTGACGCAACTAGTATTTTACTGGTCCAATACCGATTCCGATAAAAATTTTGTAAAAAAAGTTGGTAAAACTGACCCAAAATATGAAAAAAAAAATTTTTTAAGTATGCCAAAATATTTAAAGGATATATACGTATAGTTAAAAGGCAACTGGAATTTAACTAGTTGCATTTATAATTATTTAATATATTTAAATACATAATAACAATCATAATTCCTTTAAGGGACCGCACCAATTAGGAGAGCGTCAAATTAAACATCTTCAAGTACGAGTAAAATCCAATGAATTAATGGTTGATAGACCAGATTTTTATATTTTTCGAGAAAATATTTTTTTAGTGTAGTTTAACAGCTGTAACCGTAAATTAAACCAGTTCGTTACATGAAAATGGATAACTTGCACTAGTTAACTTTCCTGACGCAACTAGTATTTTACTGGTCCAATACCGATTCCGATAAAAATTTTGTAAAAAAAGTTGGTAAAACTGACCCAAAATAAGAAAAAAAAAATTTTAAAGTATGCCAAAATATTTAAAGGACACGATAGACAATAATGGTTAGCATTTTAAACGTCAAATTAAGTTTATTTCCTTAATAAATTTTGTGATTTTTAGTACAAAAATGAAAACCCGAATATTAATGTTGCCGTAATTTTCGGCTTTTTTTTTTGTTTATGCATGTTTCTCCTTTAAATTAAAAAATAAAGTACTAACATATATATATTTATGAAAAGGTAATAAAATAATCTTTATTTCTGCATTATTAAATTTTTGGTTTCATTAGTTTTAAACCTTTCCTTCACGTTTGAAGATAAAAAAATAAACCGAATATTAATGTTACTGACTGTATTAGGGTGGGTCTATGATATTTTTCTCTTGCAGATGGGGAGGGTCAAACGTGGTTTTAGGCATACAGTTTCTTGAGCAATATGGCTTAGAAATGCTCAATGATTGTTTTCCGCCCAAACGATTTATTACTTTTTTCCAGGGATTGCAAATAAGAGTTAACCTATTCAAAACAAGAAAGGAAGCTATATAATATAGTCATCCAATTTTTGTAAAATTCCGAAATTCCGAAATATTAAAAAAAAACATATCCTAGAGTAGAAGAGAATACAATAAAAATTAAAGGAAAATTAAAGGAATTTGTTTCCAATTAATTTCCCATTAATTTTCCGATCCATTTGTCAACTTTTATAATAAAAATTGGAAAAAAAAGAGTTATATGTCAATTTTTATACCCTTGCAGAGGGTATTATGATTTCAGTCAGAAGTTTGCAACGCAGTGAAGGAGACGTTTCCGACCCTATAAAGTATATATATTCTTAATCAGCATGACTAGGCGAGTCGATCTAGCCATGTCCGTCTGTCCGTCCGTCTGTCTGTGTGTTTCTAGCGGATATCTTTTCTTGTTTTTTAAAGATTTTTTAAAGTTCAAAATGTTAAATTTCGGACTTTTTACGAATTTTTTATTATATCTCGCCAGATATCCACTCGATTGGGTCAGTTTTAGTTTTATTTTAAAGCCAATATATCAGAGCTTAACTTTGCCAGATAAATATGATTGGATAAGTAATGGCAGCGCAGAAGCTCGACAAAGATGAAAAATGTGTTTTTTGGTCGACTGTAAGTAGGCTGGTATATATCGTAACAACACGAAATAAATCCGTCGAAAAATCATAATGTGTACAAACTTAAAGTTTACATCCTACCGAATAAAACAAGCCGGATATGGCCCCAATCCATTGAAAACTGGATTTATGGTTTTGGATTTATGGATTTTTAAAGTTCGGATTTTTCCACTTTTTTCGGTTGACAGAGTCCAAATTTAAGATTTATCATAGGCGGCGACATGTAAACAAAAATGAGTGGTGACGGCGGCCGGGTCAAAAAATTACTTATCCAATCATATTGATCTGTATGGCAAAGTTAAGCTCTGATCTATTGAATTTAAAATAAAACTAAAACTGGCCCAATCGGGTGGATATCTGCCGAGTTATAAGAAGAAATTCGAAAAAAGTCCGAAATTTAACATTTCGAATTTTAAAAAACCTTAAAAAAAAACTGTGCCATCGAAAAAAAATTAGTGCTATTTTCGTGATCTAGGGGTCCAAAACTAAAGGAATTTGCCATCAATTGCTGGGGAGCATTTCGGCTGTAAACTAGTGTAATCTACGATTGAATACCTTTCTGTTGATATGCCATATGTCTCCAAAATAATTTTTACCCAGTTTAATATATATATATATACATTATAGGGTCGATAACGCTTCTTTCTACTTGTTACACACTTTGAACGAATACAATTTATCCTTTTAATCTACGAGTAACGGGTATAAAAACAAATTTGAAAGTTTAAGAAAGAAGAAATAAGATAAAATCCGCGCGTATTTTGAATTTAACAGAGTTCCACAGAAATACAAATATATCGAGTCTGTAAAATTATTTTTATACGCACCGTTTGTATATAAGGAACCGGTATTTGCCCAATTTTCCCCGATGAATTTCGTGCAGTCCACCATTGATCCTCGTCTTTTCGAACTACTGTAAGAACTTCACCTCTTTGAAATGGCAAATCATCTTGATCCTTAAAAAATAAAAATTATTTTAATCACTATTAAATAAAATATCACTGTTTTTAAATGCTCACGCTGCCAACAAAATCGAACTTTCCTATAACTTTTTCCACTTTTTTAAACGCAGGTCGTCTTAGAGGGGTTGTATCCAAGTAATGAAGTGTGTAAAAAGTCAATAGTTTTGGTAGATTATCGAAAGATTGATCCCCTATGCGGTAAACGATGTGATCCTGTTGTTGAACTTTGTTAATGATGTAGTTGCTAACTTTTGTATCTTCTCTAAATAAACACAATATAAATTATTATATGTAAATATTTTTTATTTACACTTGCCAGTTTATATCAGCGTCTCCAGAAAAAAACTAAACTCCTTATTTACCAACAATTAATTAAAGCAAATATAGGCCGAGATCACTATGGACGGCAGTCCATGTAGTGACGAAGCGCACCAGGAGAGTGTGCAAGGCGACTACTATTATATAGCCGCAAAATTGAAAATCTGCTGTGATAGTCCGATCGTAATGAGTAATACACCAATCGAAAGGTATTGCAAAAACTTAAAGGATTGCATACCAAGACCTCAAGAAAATCAATTGGTTTGGGGGAGAGAGAGGTGAAAGTGAAAAAGTGAAAATTTCGAATTTTGGAGCTGTTGGGGCCGGTGGGGATAAAAGCCCCCTCGCAATATTTTAGTTGTATTCCTATCAAAAATACCCCTCGAATGAGGGGCCATATGATAAAATCCGACGCTCCGTTCAAAAGTTATAGCCAAAATAAGATTTTCTTCTTCTTCCCAAAATGAAAATTTAATTCTGTTTGTCAGTTTGTCCAAAATATGTTTTTTAAGTTCTGAAAATTTGATATGACGTTCATCACATCGATATAAAAAACTTTTGTTCTACCACTTTTGGAAAAACCCGCTAGTTTAGCGGGAAAACAGCTATAAATAGCTAAAATTCGGAAAGCCGTAACTTCTATACTACTATAGCTACAGACTTGTGCTGCATCTCGTTTGAAAGGTATTTTTAAATGCTATATACGCCTTCTTCTAACTTTTTTTTTAGCTTTTTTTTAATTTTCTCAAAAACGGCTCTAACGATTTTCCTTACAACTTTAAACTGTATAGCCCTTGAGATTCCTTAAATTTTGGTATATATCATGTTTATGTAAAAAATCGCGTTTAAAAGTTATTCAGAAACGAAAATAGCCACTTTTGCCAGCTCAGAACAACTAACGCTTCCTGAGTGTTTAATTTTGTGCGTGGGTATCCAAACTGTATATTAGGCTCATAGAATCATTTCAATTGTTTTAAGGAGTTCCAAATAGGAAACTTTTGTTTTACGACTTTTGGAAAAACCCGCTGCTTTAGCGGAAAAAAAGCTAGAAATAGCTAAACTTCGTTAGTTTGTAAGTTCTACACTACTGAAGCTACAGACATGTGCTATACCTCGTTTAAAAGGTATTTTGAAATACTTAAACGCCTTTTTAACTTAATTTGTTTAAATACAATGGTTTACAAATTATGATTGACAAATTTAAATTTAAATGTATATACTAGCTCCTATGAGAGCAAATATAAACAAACAAAAACTTCTGATATCAAATAAAAACACCTCTTAACGAGGTAAAAAACTAGTGACGATCGCACCTTCAACATACAAAAGTTCTGATATCAACATTTGTGACGAAAAATTAGTACACTCGTCATTAAATACACTTTCTAAGATTTTCTCATTCGGCACGCTGCAATAGAAAATGCCTATGAAGGTAAAAAGGTTAAAATAGTATGCTAGGGCGGGCCGAATGAGAAAATATTAGAAAGTGTATTTAATGACGAGTGTAATAATTTTTCGTCACAAATGTTGATATCAGAACTTTTGTATGTTGAAGGTGCGATCGTCACTAGTTTTTTACCTCGTTAAGAGGTGTTTTTATTTGATACTTTTATAGTAGCCCCTAACGTTAAATAAATCTAACCATAAATCTTTTCGGAATTAAATAGTAACTTGTTTCTTTTATACGGTCGTTTTGGAAAATTCAATCTAACTTAACCACAAGAGAAGTTGGGGTGGGCGCATTCAAAATTTGAATGCGTGCACCTCCTCTTGAGTTAGATTGAATTTTCCAAAACGACCGCATAAAAAAGACATGTAACTATTTAATTCAGAAATTCACAAATTGGTTGACCACTCTTGAAGATACAGTGGCTCCATCGCATAATCGAATACCTACTTTCATGAAATTAACAGGCAAAAAAATGAATAAAATGGGTTAAATTCGTCGTTTATTTTGCATTTATTTAAAAAATTGACCAAACTATAACTAAACGAATAACTGCTTGGTCGAAAAGCACGATTTCCCTACAAATTTCAATAAAAAAGAAGCTTTCAGCTTAATAAGAATGTTCTCGAACTCATCTTTAAGGTAAGTTGTTAAACTTACTTTGGAATTATGCCATCATTAACATCTTGATTTGGCCTTCCCCGCCTCTATTGTCAAATTAAAATGTATCCCGGAACCTCATAATAATGTTCTGGGCAATAGACTTGACTTCTCCGACCAATCCAGGGAATTTCCGTACAGTTTTCAGTTCGAAATTGAGTTTTCTAATCAACTGACGAAGTTTTAAAATAGCTTTCCTTGGAGCCATTTTAACTTTTTTTTGCAGTTGTTTCTGCTCTTAATCTCTACTACAAAGTAATCTCAATGCAAAAATCCCAAGTTTGCAGCAGTTCGTTGAACCTTAAAATCAGATTATTTGTTGTTTTTTTTGGAAAACTACGTGTTTTCGTTGGAAATATGTGGTTTTTGTTTATGTTTTTGTAAGAAAATTTGTGATTTTCTTAAATTAAAGATACCGCAATTACCAGAGCTGATGAACTATAGGCGTAGTGGCAACTTATGCTTAGAAAAGCCTCATTTACAGTGGCTCACAGCTTATTTCGTGCAGAGGTAAACTTAAAATTCAAACTCGTATAGCTAACAAACTATACGATAATTTACCAAAATTTAAATGCAGTTATGTTAGGCAGTATTCTGGCCCTTATTAACCCACTTCTTTATTTTTAGATTCCATAGAATAACACTTAAAATTAAGAAAAACTAAAATCATTGACTTTTTTAATGTCACAGCTTATTTCGTGCAAAACTTTAAAATTATTATTATTTGTAAATTATGGCTCAAAATGTGTTTTTTTAATTTCTGCATTGAAGCGCCTATTATTAACAATTTTTTTGTAATTTTAATTATGTCAAATACACTAAAAAAAAAGTTACATGCAAAAAAAATAAAATAATCAATTAAAATGTTTAAATGTATATTTTCGTATTAAAAATGTCGAAAAATGTATCTTAAATTTGCAGAATTTATTGAGCAAGGACCCAGTTCTCAACTATCCATGATCAAACGCTTCTTACAAAGGAATTAAGATACTACCGTACTGTTAAATTTACTATATATTTTTAATAATTTTAAGTCTGTTCCGGTGCAGATACTATTGTACAGGATGCATTTTGGGCCTATTGGTATCACTTAATTCCTTTGTAAGAAGCGTTTGATCATGGATAGTTGAGAACTGGGTCCTTGCTCAATAAATTCTGCAAATTTAAGATACATTTTTCGACATTTTTAATACGAAAATATACATTTAAACATTTTAATTGATTATTTTATTTTTTTTGCATGTAACTTTTTTTTAGTGTATTTGACATAAGTAAAATTACAAAAAAAAATTGTTAATAATAGGCGCTTCAATGCAGAAATTAAAAAAACACATTTTAAGCCATAATTTACAAATAATAATAATTTTAAAGTTTTGCTCGAAATAAGCTGTGACATTAAAAAAGTCAATGATTTTAGTTTTTCTTAATTTTAAGTGTTATTCTATGGAATCTAAAAATAAAGAAGTGGGTTAATAAGGGCCAGAATACTGCCTAACATAACTGCATTTAAATTTTGGTAAATTATCGTATAGTTTGTTAGCTATACGAGTTTGAATTTTAAGTTTACCTCTGCACGAAATAAGCTGTGAGCCACTGTAGATTCTCTGCGGAAATGCATGGTTCTCTTGCAATCGCATTTTTAAATTGCGTGTTTTTCTATAAAAACAAAGGAGCACAGAAACTTCATGATGATTGACGGATGATCCTTATGGACATCCTTCGACCATGTTATCGGACGGAAACATTTTCTGATATATGTACAGGTATATATTTACATAAGTATAACGCAAGCGTACATATCACCTGATGAAATATCGATACAAATTTACAATTATTTATGTATTAAAAAACAAAAAAAGGTTTTCCACTGAAGAGAGTATTGGGCCTAGTATCGGAAGTCACATATTTTTTTGGTAGAAGATATACTGACAAGTGTACGTAGTTTTTTTTTCTTACCTTACGCAAAGTACATAATCCCCCGCTATAGAGTTACTGTCTCGAACTAAAAATACTCCTCGTTCACGCTCATTCATTAAAACTTCTGTAGCATCTTGTCGCGACATGGGACCAAAGTACCAGCTATTAAGAACATAGGTTAATATTTAGCATATAATTTATTGATACGACCATTTTACCTGCTTCTGTCTGAAACATCAAAAGGATCCATAGCTCAGGTTTACAATAAATTGCGTCCAGAATAAAGAAACATAAATGATAAAATTCACGGTGTCGCATATAACCGATAATATAACAATAGTCTTCAGTCAGTGCATATTTAAATTGATTATTTAAAAAACATTACAATATGATCATTGTTTGCCCTTTTTATATGTGTATCTACGCTGGGCTTAGAGCTGTGCGAAACATCGAGTCATCGATGTATCGTTATGTTTTCGTTTATTTCCACTACTATTTTGCTGGAAATTTCTTTACTGTTATGTAGTAGTCCCACTGACAACGCACACTAGGAAGGTCGAAAATCCACACCATACATTTTTCTGTACATTCAGTTGTATGGGCTTTATAGGGTCTTCCCACAGAGCTCCATCCACCATCTACTATCCGTTGAACGGATGTTCCGTAAGGTTTTGCCGTTCCAAAAATTTCCCAGTTACTCCGCCATCCAATTTTGACGGACTTTGACGGGCTCTTATATGCGATAGTTATGCGATATTTTCTCGATGTTTTAATATTGGCAAGGCAGAGGGGTAGTAAGAACGGAGTGTGGGGTACGGGAGGTTAGGCTCCAGTCATCAATATGTATGCATACTCGTTGTAGGATATGTTATAAATGTTCAGATATGTTTTTAATCTATTTATTGTATTATTCTACAATAAAATTAGGAAAACGCAATTTTACTACAGTTTTGCCGAGATGAAATCAACCTTCGTTTTTGTTCAGTTGAGCAACTGCTCATAAAGTCAGCTGTTATTGGATGTGGATGGAAACTCTATGGGGACACGAATTTACAATATGTCAAAAATCCAAACCGTTTCACACGTATGGACTCTATGGGAAGACGCTATTAGCCTAGTACTCAGTACGACAAAAACTGCTGGCTAAGTATAGGAGCAAACGAGACGCAAATAGGTAGCTAAAGCCTTAATCCGGGGACTTTTTTCAGCGCGGTACTTAGATGAGCTAACGAAATGGTAAGGAATTCCAAAAAAAATACCTGATTTAGCGGATGAATTCCGATGAACGCCTTTAGACGCGGCCCAAAGAATAAAAATTTGATCTTTGGCCGTGTTTGTGCATAAGCGGTGTGGCAATAACAAGATATAAATGGAGGAAAAACTTCAACAACCAATAGAAAACTGCCTGTAGGAGTGCGGCAATACATATCGCCATGCGAACATCAAATTTAAAGCCTGCGACCCAGGTCGGCTAAACATTTTTTAATATTTCAAAATTGGCGATACTTGATTTGTTTGCTCTTTGTGAACCAACTGATTTACAATAAGACCATGTTACACGCAAGGCGGGTGAACTCTGAAAACTTAGATCACACTACAAAAGAATAATACTTTTCGACTAGTAAAACTCTTACCCGAACTGAGTACTAGGCTTTTGAACCTATTAATTTTTTTTCCTTTGTTTTTTCCGTACCGAAATGTTTCCAGTCAGTAAATAAGGGTTCCCAACCTGAAGCAGGACAAATTGGTAAAATAATAAATATAGTAATACAAAAATTTTATTGAATTTTCGTTAGCTTTGAATTATTTGCTTTCTGCCAACATAACTGCCATAACATAATTTTTCACAAAGTTGTGTAATTCGTAAATAACTTAGGAACACAATAATGAACTTTGTTAAATTCCCACGAACCAATTCTTGTTTTCCATAATATTTGTGTGCTCCTAAATAAAAGTCCCTTATAAACTTTAAATACCCACAGGTATATCTAAGAATACAAAAAACCGATGTTTGTCGACATCTTCTTCAGAGCACCTAAATATAATTGAACACTGGAAATGTTTCGTAGAAATTTTAGCTAATGGCTTGAGGAAATACCGAAAAATAACATATTCAGCGGGTGAATTCCTATGTAAAGCCTAGTACTCGACACCTACTTCAGAGCACCTAAATATAATTGAACACTGGAAATGTTTCGTAGAAACTTTAGCTAATGACTTGAGGAAATACCGAAAAATACCATATTCAACGGGTGAATTCCGATGTAAAGCCTAGTACTAGAATGTAGCATGGGTTTGTCCACTCAGCTGATTTATAATAAGACTATGCTACATCATTGCGGGAGAACTCTGAAAACAATAGTCACACTACAAAAGAATAATATTTTTCGACTATTTTCTTACATCACTTCACTTCACTTCCGGGAAGTGTTGGATTTCTGATCCAAAAAAACAACACATTTATAACAAATCTTCTACTGCTGAAAGCATTCCACATAATTTTAATCATTATTTTTGAGTTTTATTTTTTCCGATCAGAAATAATGATTATTTTGATGAAATAATTTGGTAATTTTTATTTGTAATATTGTTATTTATGTAATATTGTATACTTGTAAATAAATATGAAATAAACCAAATCCATGCTTCGTCCTTGAATTATTTAACATATAATCTTCAAACTAACCTAAGACAGAAAAACAGAGATAATGAAATGATAAACGAGAGAACACTACGAGTTTCACTTCTGTCGTGCGTAGGCTGACACACCCATTTTTTTTTTATTCACGAATTTTTATTGTTTTTGTTGATTTTGTGTAAAAAACTATAATATTACCTGATAACACTAATTACTGCAGCTTTATTGTAGTTATACCCGTTACTTGACAAACCCATTTTCTTGTTATGTTATTTTTATATGGAAATCCGTGTATGTATATCAATAACACCTTGTGGTTACCTGTAAGCATTTGAATAGAAAACGCGGACAAGTGTGCATGTGTTATTAATGATCGACATACGATAAGTACGCTTTCGACAGATGATAGTAACATTTATATCGGTGTCACCGATTATTGATCGATTTTATATCCGCCATTTTGTAGATTTGTGTTGCATATAGTGAAAATTCGAGACGTCATAATAAACTAAATTGTTTACGTGAATGATTTTTAAATATTATATTAAAAGTGAGAATTTAATATTATGGAAAATATTGGGTGGTTATTTAAACTGCTATTGATGCCAAAGAAGTAACCCAAGTATACATAAATTGATTGCTTATGTGTACACATCTGAATGCATATGTATACATATATGTATATGCAGTTCAATCTGAAGTGAAGAAGCCAATAACTTGTTTTGTGCATGTGTGCAAGCCCACTTACTCGTACATAATGGATCTATATATAACAACGTAAATTTGAGAATCTTTGAAAAATTACATGGAACAAAAGGGTAATATATTTTATATTTCACCAAATTGTGTGCACATCTGTATATCCGTGAACTGGAATTGTTATCAAGAAAAAAATGATCTCAATTTATAAATGAATTTAATAATTTCCTATTAAGCGTTATAAAGTACGGAAATAAAAAAGAAAATAATAGTACGCTTTTATTGCACGCTCGAAAATGCATTTTTGCTTAAGTTTTGTATGCAATCAAGCAGCAAAATGCTTGTTCTTAGCGAATCTGCTTTTCTACCCATACATTTCTGTTGGTGGGATGAATGGATTGCGCTGAAACAGATTCCTAGTGGTGACCGTCCATTTCAACAAAAAAATCGAGAATTTTTTGTACCTTTGCTAATTTTTTTTAACTATATCACGCACATCCTTTTTTTAAGTAGGTAAAACTGGTCCAGAATATGCAAAAAAAAAATCTTTTAAAGTGCCAAAACATTTAAACAACCTTATGGACTAGCATTTTAAATGTCAAATTAAGTTTATTTCCTAAATAAATTTTGAGATTTTTAGTACAAAAAGGAAAAACTGAATATTAATGTGGCCTCAATATTCGGGTTATTTTTTGTTTATGCATGTATCTCTTTAAAATTAAAAATAAAGTATTAATATTAATATATCAATAAAAAGGTAATAAAATAAGCTTTATTTCTGCATTATTATGTTATTAATTTTTTTATTTACAAAGCTTTTATTCACGTTTGAAGTTAAAAAAACAAAAACCGAATATTAATGTGATCCACAGTAGGGTTAAAACCTTGAAATCGTATGGGAAATCATTGCTTTAACCCTACTTTAAAAACAAACGGACGAGAAAACGGGCCTTAACTTATGTTTAACTAAAAAACGAGGACGGAAGCTAACTTCGGCAAGCCGAAGTTTTAATACCCTTGCAGATTTCACGAATGAAAACTTGACTAGAATAGCAACATGAATTAATAAACAACAAAATATTCTATAATTGAAAAAAATAAAAATTAAAAATTCTTCACCCTATTGTTCCTATGGGAGCTATATGATATAGACGTCCGATCGGCACGCGCTTTTACCCTGATCAAGGTATGCGTAAAAGAATAAGATTCATGTCAAAAGCTCTTACACTGAGCGAAATATCTTCATTTTGTGAAAGCTATATCCGATTGTTCCCATGGGAGCTATAGGATATAGACGTCCGATCGGGTCGGTTTTTTCAAACTGGATCTGCGTACGACTGTTTTAGCACGACTGTTTGTTTTAGCACGACTGTGAAAGTGTTAAGTCGCTAGCTTTTAAACTGAGCTTGCAAACGGTATTGAAACAGACGGACATGGCTATATCGACTCCCCTATTAATCCTGACCAAGAATATATATACTTTATGGCGTCGGAAACGTCTCCTTCGCTGCGTTACAAACTTCTGACCAAAATTATAATACCCTCTGCAAGGGTATAATAAGTAACTTAGTTTTATTTATTTTTATTCAAAACAAGAGAGAACGCTATAGTCGGGTTTTTGTCCCGACAATCTAATACCCGTCACTCAGCTAAAGGGAGTGCGAGGGAGATAGATATATAATATTTTGATTTAACTTTTAATGAATGGTCCGATTTGAAAAATGTCTTCTACATATCGATAGATATAAATATACGCAACAAAATTGCATTATGGGCGATTGTGGGCGTTAGAGGGGTCGTGGCGCTCGGCTGAAATAAACTTGTGCTGCGTAGGAAGCTTTGTAGTTTAGCTTTTGTAGCTTACGAGATCTCAGCGTTCATACAGACAGACAGACGGACAGAAAGACGGACAGACGATCCAAGAATATATATACTTTATGTGGTCGGAAACGCTTCCTTCGCCCTGTTACATACTTTTGCACGAATACAATATACCCTTTTACTCTACGAGTAACGGGTATAAAAAAGCAAAATAATGTGAAATAATAGGCGAAAAAAAATATTTTAATGGCAGGATCAGGGTCAATCATATGCTAATACTAGGAAATATTTGCCCAAAAGTTGTTTTACCATTCGGTTCATTTTACGACGTTTTAAAGGACTCTCACTCTGCCAAAATTCAAGGCACACAGCTGACCCATGGGTTTAAAAGGCCAGGGAAGCGAAAGGGTCAAGAAAAAGGATAATGTCAACCCTTAGGTCTTAAAAGATAGGGGAGAGGTCTGTAGGTTGAGACACCTTTTGTTTTTAGTCTCCCATTTGGACATTCGCTTTTGAAACTTCACGTGTTAAGTACCGATCGAAAGCTTAGTCTTTTAGCTGTAAAATAAAGCAAACAAAAAATTGTTTTTCCCTTGGGGAAAACTAAAAACTATAAGGAACTATTTATTTATGTTAATTTAATCAATTTTAGCTCGTCCTAAATCATTTCCCATTCATTTTTTAAGAACTTCGACCAAATAACAATTAAAATCAAAAGGCTCTTTGAACATTCACTTTTCCCCTAATATCAAAGAAATGTGCTAGGCAGAAAGCGACCTCTGTTGGCCTAAGGCCTTTTTGTATGAAAAACGGGTGTCTCAACTTACACAAAATGGGATGTTTCGGGAAAAAATTAATAACTTTTGTTCTGACTGTCACATTAAGCTGATTCTTTTTTTAATTAGTTAACAGTTAATATACTAATGTTTTAAATCTCTTACCAAGTTAATTTAAGGACGTTATTAATTTTAAATGGAATTTTGAAAAAAGTAGGCAATAACTTTTTTGGTGCAAAATGGTACACGACTCTCACAGCTTAAATCTGGCTAGAGCCTGGCTTATAATGTTTTCCCCAAAAGTTTTTTCACTAAAAAGGACTACAAAAAAAAAAAAAATTTTTTTAGTGGAAAAGTTTTGAGAAAATTGAGTGTCTCAACTTACAGACTGTCTCAACCTACAGACCTCTCCCCTATGTATTTAGACTTTAGGTACGTAAGTGCGTTTTTCTCGAAACCACGTTTTGAAAGTCCGTGGTCATCGGCATTTCTAAACAGCTCAATCGATCGTTTTGTCGCATATTTTTCTGCATAAAAAAAACCCGCCCCCTGGCGTTTTTATATTTTTATACCCTTGCAGAGGGTATTATGATTACAGTCAGAAGTTTGCAACGCAGTGAAGGAGACTTTTCCGACCCCATAAAGTATATAAAGTATATATATTCAGCATCACTAGACGAGTCGATCTAGCCATGTCCGTCTGTCCGTCCGTCTGTCCGTCCGTCTGTCTGTCCGTTTCTACGCAAACTATTCTCAGTTTTAAAGCTATCGGCTTGAAACTTTCCCAAAAGTCTTCTTTCTATTGCAGGTAGTATATATGTCGGAACCGACCGGATCGGACAACTATATCTTATAGCTCCCATAGGAAGGATCGGAAAAAAAAGCGTTGAAAAAATTATAGCTTTGGTGTTTTCTCAAATATTACCTTCTACTCTTGGGAATATTATTTTTTATATATTTCTGAATTTCGAATTAAATATTTAAAAAATCAGATATCATATAGCTGCCATAGGAACGGTCGAAAAATTAAATGGAAATTATAACGAAAAAAATTATATCTTTGTTGATTTTTATTACATTCTCTTCTACTCTGGGATATGACTATTTTTAAATATTTCCAAATTTTGATTTTAATTTTAAAAAGATCGAACTACTATATCATATAGCTGCCATAGCAACAATCGAAAAATTAATGTGAAATAATAGGAAATTTAACATTTTTGCGATTTGTAAATTAATAGAATGATCTGCAAGGGTATATAAGCTTCGGCTTGCCGAAGCTAGCTTCTTTTCTTGTTTAACTTTAAGTATTTTTTTTAAGCCCAAAGTCGAATTTTTTAGGTGAAAAACGCATTTTTGACTTTGGAAGGGCAAAAAAAATGATTTAAAAAAACAAATTAAAAATCGCGCTTCCCAGGGGGCGGGTTTTTTCTTTTCTTAAGCTAAATGTAAAAGCAGAATGGAAATCCGATAATTTTTGGAGGAGATACAGTGGTCACCGCAAAACGCTTTTTTTTAATAGTGTTCCAGCAATCGCTTTGCCACCGATATATTAGCCGATAGTATAGTACATAGACCTTACCTATCCCCCCCCCCCTTAAAAGACCCTGCAATGTGCTAACTTAATTTTTTTGCAGCTAGATAAAATGAAGTGATTTCAAAGGTCACCAATATAACCATTTAGACTTTTATAATCTTTTTACCTAATCACGTGCTATGCCAATCCTTTCCATAGACTTAAGGACTCGGAAAGTTGACCTTAAAAATAAATGCATTTTTTCACGCTGCAAAAAAAATGTAGTTAGCACATTGCAGGGCCTTCTGATCCTGCCATTATAATATTATTTTCGCAGAGATATGGGTATTTGAATTTTAAATTTTTTTTAAATAACCGTTTTTAGTTCAAATTAAGTTATTTAAACGATTAAGGATACAAATTTAGCATTATGCCATCTAGACAACAGAAGCAAAGCTGATTTTGAACAAAAAATTATTCAAAAACGAGGACGGAAGCTAACTTCGGCAAGCCGAAGTTTTAATACCCTTGCAGATTTTACGAATTAAAACTTGAATAGACTAGCAACATGCATTAATAAACAACAAAATATTTTATAATTGAAAAAATAAAATTTTAAAATTTTTCACCCTATTGTTCCTATGGGAGCTATAGGATATAGACGCCCGATCGGCACGCGCGTTTACCCTAATGAAAGTACGCACAAAAAAATACGATTTGGAAAGTTTCATGGGAATAGCTAATATTTTGCGCGAAATATCCTGAAAAACGTCAAATTTTGACCGATTTCACCCTATTGTTCCTATGGGAGCTATAAGATATAGACGTCCGATCGGCACGCGCTTTTACCCTGATCAAGGTACGCACAAAAAAATACGATTTGGAAAGATTCATGCCAATAGCTCTTACACTGAGCGAAATATCTTCACTTTTGTGAAAGCTATATCCGATTGTTCCTATGGGAGCTATAGGATATAGACGTCCGATCGGGTCGGCTTTCAAACTTGATCTGCGTACACATGTTTTAGGACGACTGTGAAAGTTTCAAGGCGCTAGCTTTTAAACTGAGCTCGCAAACGGTATTGAAACAGACATACAGACGGACAGACGGACAGACGGACAGACGGACATGGCTATATCGACTCCCCTATTGATCCTGATCAAGAATATATATACTTTATGGGGTCGGAAACGTCTCCTTCACTGCGTTACAAACTTCTGACCAAAATTATAATACCCTCTGCAAGGGTATAATTAGTTTTAGCGAAATAGTTAAAAACAACTCAAGTGTGCCAAAAATGTTGTTCGGGCAGATTCAACTCATTTTTATACCCTTGCAGAGGGTATTATGATTTCAGTCAGAAGATTGCAACGCAGTGAAGGAGACGTTTCCAACCCCATAAAGTATATATATTCTTGATCAGCATCACTAGACGAGTCGATCTAGCCATGTCCGTCTGTCCGTCCGTTTCTACGCAAACTAGTCTCTCAGTTTTCAAGCTATCGGGATAAAACTTTCCCAAAAGTCTTCTTTCTATTGCAGGTAGTATATAAGTCGGAACGAGCCGGATCGGACAACTATATCATATAGCTCTCATAGGAACATCGGGAAAAAAAATGTAAAAAAATTATGTCTTGGGTGTTTTTGAACCTATAACATTCTACTTTTGGAAATGTCATTTTTTATCCCATTCTGAATTTCGAATAAAATTGTTTCAAAATCGGACAACTATAGGGGAGAGGTCTGTAGGTTGAGACGGTCTGTAAGTTGAGACACTCAATTTTCTCAAAACTTATCCACTAAAAAAATTGTTTTTTTTTTTTTTTGTAGTCCTTTTTAGTGACAAAACTTTTGGGGAAAACATTATAAGCCAGGCTCTATCCAGATTTAAGCTGTGAGAGTCGTGTACCATTTTGCACCAAAAAAGTTTTTGTCTACTTTTTTCAAACTTCCATTTAAAATTAATAACGTCCTTAAATTAACTTGGTAAGAGATTTAAAACATTAGTTTTTCATACAAAAAGGCCTTAGGCCAACAGTGGTCGCTTTCTGCCTAGCACATTTCTTTGATATTAGGGGAAAAGTGAATGTTCAAAGAGCCTTTTGATTTTAATTGTTATTTGGTCGAAGTTCTTAAAAAATGGATGGGAAATGATTTAGGACGAGCTAAAATTGATTAAATTAACATAAATAAATAGTTCCTTATAGTTTGGAGTACTTTTTGTGTGAGTATTATTGACTTTAAAAAGTGTCTCAACCTACAGACCTCTTTTTCAAATTGTCATTTTTTGGCACTTTTCAAAAAAAATTATTTTTTAGTTTTCCCAAGGGAAAAAAAATTTTTTTTGCTTTATTTTACAGCTAAAAGACTAAGCTTCCGATCGGTACCTAACACGTGAAGTTTCAAAAGCGAATGTCCAAATGGGAGACTAAAAACAAAAGGTGTCTCAACCTACAGACCTCTCCCCTATCATATAGCTGCCATAAGAACGATCGGAAAACTAATGGGAATATAATAGGAAATAAATTATTGCTTCGTTGGTTTTTATTGTATTCTCTTCTACTCTAGGATATAACTCTTTTCAAATATTTTCGAATTTCGATTTTAATTTTATCAAAATCGAACTACTATATCATATAGCTGGCATTGAAACGAACGCAAAAATAATGAGAAATAATAGGAAAATTACCATTTTTGCGATTTGTAAATTAATAGGAATTATCTGCAAGGGTATATAAGCTTCGGCTGGCCGAAGCTAGCTTCCTTTCTTGTTAACGATGCCAAATTGCCAGCATTTTTGCATTTTTTCTCACTTTTACAATTTTGACGAAGTGTAATAGAAAGTTGGAGAGCATTATATTACCTGTAAAATGAGTTATTTATGGTTGAAATCGGTTTAGCAAAACTCAAGTTAGAAATTAAAAAAGTGTCAAAAACGTTTTTTACACTTAAAAGAAAATTTTATCCATAAAAAAAATTTAAGTGCCATTTTCCTAATCAGGAAGACTTACCTAACCGGAAAACAAAGTTTTCATTCATGGTATATTTCATCGATTTTTTTTTGTAAACTGGTGTTACCAGTCTTGGTCTTACTACCAGGAGTATTTTTAATGCAGTTTCCTCCCGTTTTGAACGTTAAAAGCAACAAAATTAAATGCGTGTCAGTTGGGATAAATGCCCCCTAGTTATTCTAACTGAAAATACGCGTCGACTAAAAAATACCGATGCTTCGTTAAAAGTTATTCCAAAGTCAAGATTTTTGAGGACTTTCCAAAATTAAACCAACGGGGGTGTCAGAGAAATCTCTTCCAACTAAATTTCCCCCTAAAAGCAAGTCTCGGTGTCACAGAATCCGTTTAATAACACTGGTCGACAAAAAAATTCCCCAAGACTAATACGATTTTAGCTGTAGATTACAACCCCATACTTGGAAACTTTCCATCACAATTTTTTTCCATGGGCAAAGTACAAAATTTTCTATTTTTAGGAACTTTTTGCGGCTTAATAGCAAGAAAACCCTTCTATCCTAGAGCCACAATTTAGCGAAAATGGTAATTTGAACCTTTAACTTCAACAGTGTCCAATCACCAATCTACTTTTTTAAGGGTATTCAATTCGTTGGAAACGTTGAAAAGTGTAAAAGTCTAAGAAGTTCCAACAACAATTTCTATTCAAAACAGATTTAATTTTCCTCAAAAATCATCAAGCTATACCAAACAAAATAATTAAGCCTTTTCTTGTACGTCAATATCTTGTAACTATTTATACCCGTTATTCGTAGAGTAAAAGGGTATATTGTATTCTTGGAAAAGTATGTAACAGGGAGAAGGAAGCGTTACCGACCCTATAAAGTATATATATTCTTGATCAGGGTCACTAGCCGAGTCGATATAGCCATGTCTGTCTGTCCGTCTGTATGGACACTGAGATCTTAGAAACTACAAAAACCAAGCAAGAAAGTTCGGATTACCCACACAAATTCTTGGGCTCATACGCAGCGCATATTTATTTCAGCCGAGCGCCACGCCCCCTCTACCGCCCACAAACGATTTTAAAATGTGTCTGGCGCCCACATTTTTAAAGATTTTGGATAAGTATAATTACTATTTTCTTGTGTTTATTTAAATTACACATATCGAAATGTAGAAGAATTTTTTTTTGAAATCGGACCATTCTGTAAAAAGTTATGTCCGATCAAAGTTTTATATCTCTACCTCCCTCGCAATCCCTTTAGCTGAGTAACGGGTATCTCTTGTTTTTTGTCGACCTGTGTAATAAACATAATACATTTCTAAGATACAAGTGAAATAAATCTAGAACAAAATACAGTTTTGTGGTTTATTTAAATTATAATTTAAAATTTATTTCTTTTATACATTATAAAGAAGGACTATAACTGATATAATTATTCTCTTTGACTAGGTTCTCAAAAACTACAATGTTTTCATTGTATGTAGCATCTATCTTCCGTTATCCAGCGAATACTATATGAAAGCAACTTAGATCAATCATAAGTAAATGGTTCCAGATATATGGTCGGAGTCACATTTAAGAGTACAATATCATGCCTAAAACTAACCACAGCTTTCGAATCAAGGTTAAAAAACGGTATTCTTCGGGAACAGGTGAGTGCTATAAATATTTTAAATTACTTTCAACTGACTTCAGATCTTTTATTATAGGCTACCACAATGAATATAAAAGGGAAATCGAAAGAAATGTAAGGGGGCATTGTATCCAAAACAAACCCCCCAAAAGAAGTGCTTCAACAGTATTATATAACCATTTTTACGCACCAGCTGATTTAAGGATTTCTTCTAAAAAAACGTATACTGGTAGTGTTGAATGTAAATCCAACGATAAGCTGGTTACGCCCAGATATATGGGTTCCACCTTCATCTCTCTCTTGCCTCGAAAAATGCTTTCACGTCAAAGCCCTCATGTCCATTTTTTATTTCTATTATTGATTGCAATTCAAATTTCTTTGTCGCAGTCTATATTATTAGAGGAATTAAGTTCTAAGGACAATATAACTAATTCACAAGAAAAGTCAAATGGAAACAATAACTTTAGTAACAGCACTGGAAGTAACATGATTTCTGGAATCTCACCTATAGTGCAAAAGGATTATTTGGAAAAGTTAAATAACTTTGAGCGAAGTGTAGCAGCTGTACTAATAAAAGTGGCGTATGGGACAACCTCTACAACCAAGCGAAGCATACCAGATACTAGTTATTCCTTAGGTCTAACTACTGTTGCAACACCATTTTTGACGACACAAAGGTAATACAAAAAAAATACAAAAGGTTTTTATTATATAAATCGGACTGCTTTCCGTTGTCAAACAAGTGCTTGCTTGCTTTGTTGTCCAAATACCAAAATAAAAGTGAGCAAGCTCTTTTTTAAGGAAGGAGACTTAAAAGCAGGGATCGCAAGTAAGAATTACTTTTTTAAAAAAATTGACAAATAAGTCTTATTTTTCAATTTTTATTATAAAGTAAAAGTAAGTAATAACTCTTATGCTTCAATTTTTATTATAAACTTTTATAATAAAAATTGAATTGAAATAACTCTTGAACTGTGGGGTACATTGGTTTAAAATTTATATATGTATAATCTACGCTTTAATACCTTTCTGTTGATATGCCATATGTCCCCAAAATATTTTTGATGATGTAAAAAATACTATTATTATAAAAAATATGTTGGGGACATATGGCATATCAACAGAAAGGTATTAAAGCGTAGATTATACATATATAAATTTTAAACCAATGTACCGCACAGTTCAAGAGTTATTTCAATTCAATCTTTATTTTATTATAAAAGTTGACAAATAACTCTTATGCTTCAGTTTTTATTATAAAAATCAACAAAATTGAAGCATAAGAGTTATTTGTCAACTTTTATAATAAAAATTGAAAAATAAGACTTATTTGTCAATTTTTTTAAAAAAGTAATTCTTACGTGCGATCCCTGCTTAAAAGTAAATTGCCGATTTGCTCCGATTCTTTTTTTAATACTAAAATATCTTAGCTTCCTAAAACTTTTTATATTATTAAAATTAATTTACAATTTTGTTGTATACCAAAATTTGATAATTTGGGTGACCTAGCCTTCAAGTCAAAATTTCCAATAGGCGAGCAGGATATTTAAAAAAATACATTTATTTTGACTAAGAGTGAGGTAGAGAAAAAGAGCTGGGTAATACTCTAGCCTAGCAGACTCACCCGAAATTCCCGAAAAAATTATCCTGGACCGGGATTTCTTAAGAATTTACGTGCAAAATTAACTTGTCGGTCGGCCATGGTTATCTTGTAATTGAATTTAAAAGCTCCCGGGCTTTCTATAAAAAACAATGGCTGTTCTCATATTTCAATCAAAGTAATAACATTTTAATGAGTTCCTGTAAAATTATTTAATTCTTTAAATGAGTTGCTATAAAGTTATTTAATTGTTTAAATGAGTTCCTATAAATAACAAGAGAGAACGCTATAGTCGGGTGCCCCGACTATCAGACAACCGTTCTTCAGCTAAAGGGAGTGCGACCGAGATGGAGATATAAAACTTTGATCGTGCATAACTTTTTAACGAATGGTAAGATTTGAAAATTTTCTTTTTCATTTCGATAGGTATTAATAAACACATATTTTACTTTTCCGAAATGCACGAATACCTGTTTGCACGAATACAATATACCCTTTAACTATAACTTTTTATAGAATACGAGTAACAGGTATTAAAATGTACGATTAAAAAAAAAATTTATAAAATATTTTTATTTTTGTCTATTGGAAAAACTGTTATACTCTAGATTAGCGGACTCACCCTCGAAATTCGAGAAAAAATATCCTCAATGGACTGCGATTTCTTAGGAATTGATGTGCAAAAAGAACTAGAGTATTACCAAGAGCTGTAGCTTGATTCAAAAGTCAAGGTCAAGGTCGCGTAAAGCGACCACTTTGTGAATTGAAGGGTTCCATGGTCAGTTCTAGTCAGTGCGCATTGTTTACGATAGACTCCTGTACCACTTTTGGTTTGCATATTTTGTTTCAGCCGAGTGCCATGCCCCCTCTTACGCCCACAATTGCCTTAAACGATTTTACCTATATCTATCGAAATGTAGAAGAAATTTTAACTCGGACCATTCGTTAAAAAGTTATTCCCGATCAAAGTTTTATATCTCCATCTCCCTCGCACTCCCTTTAGCTAAGTAATGGGTATCTTAAAGTCTGAGCCTCAACACACAAGTCAATAAGTTTTTCGAACTTAAAACTTCGACATGTTAATAACACAAGTTTTTTACAGTGTGTGTTATTTTCTGAACCCTGAAATCGGAGAATTTTTATACCCTTGCAGAGGGTATTATGATTTCAGTTAGAAGTTTGCAACGCAGAGAAGGAGACGTTTCCGACCACATAAAGTATATAATTCTTGATCAGCACCAATAGCCGAGTCTACCTAGCCATGTCAGTCTGTCCGTTTCTATGCGAACTAGTCTCTCAGTTTTAAAGCTATCGCGATGAAACTTTCCCGAAAGTCTTCTTTCTATTGCAGGTAGTACATATGTCGGAGCGAGTCGGATCGGACCACTATATCTTAAGGCTCCCATAGGAATATTCAAAAAAATATAAAAATTCATTGTAACTTTGTAGGAAGTAGGCGTTTTAATCTTTGACAACTTAAAAACAAAATTTAAGTAATAGGCACGCTGAATCTGGAATCCCTGGAACTGCACCGAGTGAGCATTAAACTATAGGTGTTTGCTTTATCTGCAAGGGTATATAAGCTTCGGCTGGCCGAAGCTAGCTTCCTTTCTTGTTTTTGTTGCATTTTTGCTTTATTTCCTATCATTAAAGGGCCATCCCTAGCAAAATAAACAATACGTACAACAAACACTAGATGTCATTACTCGATATTTGGAGTGGAAACACTTATTTTGAGTAATCGGGTTACTGGCTCACTCGATAGGTTACCCCACATAGAGTGACTAGACTATAATACACATACGAAATGTCTCCTTCTGAGAAAGCACTGTACGGAACACAGTGCTATCGTAATTTGCTTACGATTTTACCGCTTGTTCAAAAGCCTTTGTCGCGCTTCTTTACTTGCTGTGAATTTAGTCCAGGAATGTATCCATCTGCAAGATTCTTGAATTCAATTTCCAATTTGAGAATCGCTATTATAAACGTTTCACAGTTAGTTGACTTTATTTCGAATGCCTTAAAATACCGTGCCATTTTGTTAACGGAATAAATTTTTCTCTATTCTCTAGTTTTTGGATTACGGAATGGCAAAGCCATGACCAATATTGAATAATATGTTTTTCTTTCAGATATCCCTCGGTACATAAACAACATAGTGCCACTGGTCGTCAGAAAAACTATGAACTAGACTTAGAGAGGGATCATGCGTTGCCAACGTCTGCGCCCAACGCTGATATACTAAAAAGTAATAACAATCCTACATACCCAAATCCAAACCGTCATCATTCACATGATAGAGACCGTCACAGGAACACCGCACAGTATATTTCGACTCCGATGCCATCCAGTAAGTTAACATCCCATACAAACTTGTTTGTTTTTTTAATGCATCGCAATTTTACAGTTCCCAACCTTTTAAAAAAATCGAATGCCGGACAACCACCTACAATACCAATGTACCCAGGTGATATTCCATCTTATTCCCCGCCGTCGAGAGCCTTCTTCACACCGCCGCTTCCGCCGGAGTATCAAAATCCGTTTGCCGACAAGCCCACCTTGCGTGGTACCAATAACGAGGGTCTTATTGCAATTAATAGGCGTCCGATCCCACCGCCTAGTTTGATGCCTAGTCAGGATCGAATCCCCATCCGCCCGCCAGATCTTGGAGGCAATAGCAACGATGATATTGTAAATCCGTTGGCCGATTTAAGTTACGTTAATTCTGGCTTAGATGCAAAGCACCCTCTTGAGTCAACTGCATTCCATGGAAAGGTGTCTGATGTGTCCACTACCGATCGTAAAAAAGCTCTCAATACACCTGCGCGTAGCAGCGGCGAGGATTTCTTAAATGAAAAGATAAGCAGCATAAAGGGACAGGGGTCTCATGAACCAGATGCCAATGATCCAGTTAAAAGACAAGAAGTTTTACCTAATATAAGACGTATTCTGGGATCGAACGGAAAGAATGGTGACATACCAGCGGTTTTGTTAAAGCAAGTAACTCAGCGACCCATAACTGGCATCCGACACCCGCCTTCTTCCCCAATTGTACTGATTGAAAAGTCTTTAACAAACGATGAAAACACAGATGCAGATGGAGCCTCTGTGGTTAGTCCTAATATCAACCAGAACAAGTACCAGCCTGGTCAGTTGGATTATTATGACAATGCTAATCAAACTACAGGAACTACACCATCAGCAGCTGCTGCCATTGGTGACGTATCAGCCACCTCATTTTCGTACGCTACCACAAACGCGGGTCAGCCGGGACATACAGGAAAGACCATTGACACTGTTAAGGGATTAGGTCCGAGCCTAGGCGATCATGATGCGGTTGCCGCTTCAGCAGCAGCTGCATCAGCACACACTACTTGGACCTGGGCCTGGAATATTCACATCTATTTGTCAGTTGTTCTCTTTACCATTTTGTCGGTATACTCACTTTACAAACTGCTGACTTATAACAAGCTGACACATTTGTTTGCACAGTCGTATTTTGTGTGCATCCATCTCATTCTAATTGTAATCTGCATAATGAGAATATTTTTCCTTTGTTTTGATGCATACAACGTACATGGTACTTTTAATATATTTACATCAGAACTCTTGCTGAATCTACCTTCAACATTCTTAACAGTAGCTTTCTCTGTACTCATTCTGTTTCTTTTTCTCAAATCCTTGAACCACAAAAACAATAGATATTCAGCTCTGATAAGACCGCTGACCGTGATTGTGGGCTGCGGCGTTCACGTTGTGCTTTGCATTACATTGCACTACGTTGAATCCTATACCCTAAAAAATCATCATTTATATTTTCAACAACAGCAGCAGCAGCAGTACTTTCGTAGGCAGCATCTTCACAATCATCAGGGCCAAGTTGCTGCTACAATGTCTCCATCGGCTATTTTGCCACCACCTCCCCGAGTCTTGACGCTCATATGCCAGATAATTTATATATTTATATGTCTAAGCTTGGGACTTCTATATCTCTATTTGTATCGCATTTTAAAACGCATTCTTCGAAGCAAATCTCAAAACTACATACACGGCTATCAGAATTTGTCCTACGCCATACACATTACGATTGCCACAGCTCTTCTTTTTGTTCTATTGGCTGCCCTTCAAATATTTGGTGCCATATGTATTTCGTCATCTCGTCAAACCAATATAGTCGATGTCGACTGGCTTCAATGGGGATATCAGTTCTCTTTGCGCCTTATAGAGATAGCAATAATAACATTAATATCCTGGGTAACTGGACTTAAAACCAGTGTCGGGAACGATTCTTTAAATGCTGTGAATGGGGACGTTCGAATGGTTGGCCCCGGAGTGGGCCCTATGAGTCCGTATGGCCAAGATGGTGGTCCAACTAACAATGCCATCAGGGAAAAACACGTTGGCAACGGAACTGGTACGCATAACTCAAATGTAACTAATTTCTTTCTGCCGTGCACATCAAGCTCTAGTCAAGAGCAGTTTGAAACCGACTACCCCGCTATTTGCAACGCAAATACAAATCTTCATACGTACACTATGCGGACGGGTAAACTTATATATGACGACAGCTATGCCCTGAATTCCATAGGGCCCTCAGCCAATGGATCTTCGAAAAATCGCCCCTGTGAATATCAACTACAGGAGCCTATGTACCAAAGACCTTATGATACGGGTTCGATTGGAAGTGCTCTAAATGCTCAGAACGTGACAGATTATGGAAATCAAGCTACTCAAAGCTACAAGCAACAACATCTATCACATCAATTGCACTTTCACGAGCAGCCCACGTACATGAGTACGGACTACATGACAGATGCTGCACCAGACCATTACGAAAATCCGAATTTCAATTTGCGCTCCACTAACAGTGCAAACGCCGAACAAATGCAAAAAGAAATTTATGATAACAATGGAGTTTGTTCTACCTCAGGTTCTGGATCTTCGCAGCAGCAAGTGGTTCTGTTGCAAAACGACAATTGTTATTCTGAGCCACTTGAGCAGGAAAACAAGCGGTATGAATTCAACATATTTGAGCGCCCCGTTTTTAAGGACAAATCAGTTCACAATGTTCAGTCCAACAGTGAGTGCTTTCAAGATAGGCAGAAGATTGGAAACGGTCGAAAGTGTGAAAAGAAGTTTTCTGGTAATGGCACGCTTGAACGTAATTTCTACGAAAATAAGAATCCCGAGCGCCGCAGTTCAAACTCAACCAATTCCTGCTCCTCATCAAATGGGGGAGCTGGAGGCCGATATGCTAGCTATAATTCATATGAGCGCGGGTTTTTCAACGGCGTTTGCAAGAGTGGCACTCTGAGCAGTATTGCGAGTGGTGGAATGACACTGGGCGGAGCTGCTCCAGGTCGTACTCTAGAGGCTCCAATTTCCTCTACTGGAACTCAACGAATAATCGCAAATGGAGCACAGACGTTGGGAATATCGGATAGAGACAGAGCCCACTATTATCAAAGAACAAGTGGACGTACTTCGAACCTAAGATCATTGCAGGGTGGTACTGGAACTGACATGTTTAAAAGTATGCCCATAAGGCAGCATCAACTGCAACAGCTACCTTATGATCATAATACAGAAGATGAAGAAGAGGAGGAAGACGATATAATATCAGGAAATAATGTAGAGTGTACAAACTTGATAAGCAACGACAGTGGTTCTGTCATTATTGCCGAAGACAGCACTCCCACTCCTATATCTATTAATGGCAAAACCTCTTCACTTGCCGGCGCGGCAGCAACTAAAAATTTGTCGAATGACCCGCTTTTACATTTAAATGTACATCCACAGTTGCATATTCAAAATAATGGAAAACTTCGTTCTGAGTTGTGCACTGCTTCATCAGCTTCTGTTGCGTCGGCATCTTCAAACTCATGCACAACATCCAGTGCTTCTGATAGTATGCTTGTGACAGATCAAGGTTTTCTTCGATTTCGGTCCATAGAGGATCAAAATAGTGCCCAAAATGGAACCAATGTAGATGCCGAAAGGGCTGTTGTATCTTCCCTTCGTCTTAAAAGTTGCGGTGCGACTGTAAGCGGCATCGACTGCTAAGATTCTTTTACGTCCCAGATACATAGCTTTGCATGTCATAACATAACCATCTTATTTCTGTAACTTACTATCAATCAAACACTGTCTTGATTGTCCGTTTATGCCAATAAAAGTAGTTAAATCACCACTTTCTACTATCTTCAAACTTGTGATATATATATAACAAAAAACTAGCGGAAAGCAGAATTAAATCAATATATATACGATTTTTCAGTATACCAATTTATCATTCGGTAAATAATTATCTTATGCTCACACAAAAAAGAAATACATTATTTTAACATTTATTTTTAAACACAAGATTTTAATGCTTAGCTGGGAAGTTTAAGGTTTATGCTTTCCTCATTACATAAATGTATTTTTTATTCACGAATCCATATATATTATATAACACATAGATCAATTCAAGCATTCATAAATGTATATTTCGTCCGCAACAATCCATTATTTACCTAGTAAATATGTATATAACTAATTACATATACTGATTGAAGATTTCATAAAATATATATTGCCCACGGGAAAACTTTTTTATATATTGTAATGTTTATTATTTTTAACTTACAACTAACATCCGTTGTAACTGCTTTTGTCACACAGGCAACCAAGTACTTCATCACACCGTTCCTGTGTAATTAACCTAGCGCAAAAATAAAACTAAAAGGGCTCTAATTTAAATTCGGTTTCTAAAAGTTTTTATTAAACAATTCATTTAATTTTGTTTACATAAAAAGGTAAACCTAAAAAAAAATAAATACCATATTTTAAAAAATTTACCAAAATCCAATTTCAAACAATTTGAATAAATAAACACAAAAACGATTTATTCAAATTAAAATAAAATGATATTGAACAATATTTTATTATTTTTTTGGCTTGTGCTTAATTAAACACTAAAGACAAAAGTAATATTGCTAATAATAGCAAAACCAATTCTTTAATTTTGAGTTAACACCAAGGCACATAAATACATACGATGTAAACAACATAACATTAGTTTTCAAGCTTATTAATATTCAAAAAAAATTATATAAAAAGGGCAAACGAACATAACACTGCAAATGATATTCCCATTCCTTTATTTTGCGTAGGCCAGGGCAAAAGTGTATTTTAAAACTTATTGATTTATGGTAGGATTATATATTTACTAAGGAACATTTACATAAAAATGCTTTTAATATAAGTAAAACAGCTTGTTAAAAATAAACGTTAATTACATAGTACTGATTAGTTAAGGCTTTTGCATTTTCTATTGTTAAAATGATCAAAAATAAATGTATTCGTGAAAATACTTATACTTTAAGGAAACAATTTATAAGGTTATAGTTTTAATATTTCCATGCAGCACCTTTGAACCGTCAATGACATGTTAGGAAGCCATACATTACTATTATTATAAATACCCTGTAAATATATTTTTATATCTCTATGGAATAATATATTTCCATAAAAATGAAATGACAAACATTTACCAACAATATTTCCGAATTATAATTATCCTTTACTTTGTACACATTGACAAAGAAACAACATGTATGCGTATTCTTGAATGTAATTACCTTTAATAAGCTAGCCAGGCAAAAATAAATATGAAATACTAAATTTACGTTAACTTTTTTTTGTACTCGGATTTTTATACAATCGCAGAGGGCTTTATAATTTTAGTCAACTACAATTTGTGTCTACGTCGGAACAATCATTCCTATAGGAGCTATAAGATAAAGTTGACCGATGTCGCTTGTTCCGACTTATATGCCACCTGGAGCAGAAAAAAGACGTTTGAAAAAGTTTCAACCCGCCAGCTTATCACTGAGAGACAAGTTTGTGTAGAAACCAATGAGACGGCTAGAACTCAGCTTCAGCGAAAAATGGGACCTTATCGGAGGTGTCACGGAAATCTCTTCCAACCAACTCTTTGTGCATTGATGAACGTTAAGCCTAGTCATGGTATAACTATAATTTGCTGTTGGGCTTTGTATTACCGCAACTCCTGCGTACTTTTTTTATATTTTTTATTTGTTATTGCCACACCGCTTCGGCACACACATAGCCAAAGATCGAAATTGTTTGTTAACACCCGGACTGAAGCCGTTAGCTACCTATTTGCCTCTCGCTTACTCCTATGATTAGCTAGCCGTTTTTGTCGATGTGAGGACTAGGTAAGCTTAGGAGCCAAAGGGCTAGTCTAAAAATAAATACCATTATGTTTTCTCAAATGTCTTTCAATTCAACGAATACGAAGTCAATCCTTGGGAAACTATTTCGATTTTAATGTTAGTGGTCAGAAATAAGACGAGTTGAGTTGCGTGTGTGTGGACTGTATTAATTTTTATTCTTGCCAGTTGCGAAGCCTATTCGATACTGAAGTGAATTTCGCAAAGCGACGCCGTCTTAGCGGCGTTGCCAGAAACTAAAGATATTGTGTATGTATACATGTTTTCTTGTACATAGGTTAAGTATATAGAACAGAATAGAGATGGCATTATGCGCCTATATGTTAGAGATTATTAAAAGCTGCAAGCGTTTACGAACAGTTAGGTAGGCGTTATTTTTTGACAATTAAAAAAAAAATTACTAGCTATTTGGTTTTGATTGTTTATAATAAAAGGCAAAAATGTCTCTGTTGCGCATATCTTCTTTATTGCAAAGCCAATTTCAATAATGTCGTTGCTTTTTCTTCTTCCACGTTTTCAGCTGATTTTGCAACAAATGCAGCCTATATGAACAGCTTGCAAAATTTGCTCCTACAACTTTAGACGGTTATGTGCAGGGGGCTTGAGTTATTAGTAGACATCGGATTTTAGGAAGAAATATATTTTAAACGAGCAGTCCAAACATTTTTTGGATTGCACACAAATTTGTTTTATGAAACGTATATTATTTTGAACGCGGCATATTTTTTGCAAATTCGACCTTTTTACGTATCTTTCACCTTAAAGGCATATTTCGGAATATACATTTGAAATCAGAGCTGTTTCTTACATAGCTCAAATGCCTACTTAAACTAATGATTATTATTATTGTATACAAGATACAACAAAACCACAAATACTACTTTACTCTGACTCAACTCTCCTTACGTTGTTGCGGTAAACAATAACAAAGCAAAGACAAAAACAAAAATGTATGAGAAAATTGGAAGCTAAAATTATACTCTGACCCCAGCAACAACATAAATACCTTGAAGTTTGTTTGTTGATTTATCGAGTTAATAAAAAATGGTGATTTCTTTGTATAAACTTTTTAAAACGCGGCTTTTAGTTTTCAAGAGGTATGCATAAATACAAAAAGTTGTATCAACCTTAGGACTTTATGTCATTTATATATTAGTAAAACGACTTAACAAGATGTTATGAACAATTGCACTTAGATCCAACTCGACATGTGGGTTGGGTGTTAGTGTGTTGGTCCACCGAGCTTGTAAGCACGAGTTCGATTCCCACAGAAAGTGTTTTTTTTTTTTAAGCGGTTTATACACATGAAAATTTATTTTTTTCTTAGCTGGTTTAAATCTTTGTCAAATTCCGCGTAAGTCGGCTGCAACCTAACTTTAAGTGATATTTCTCACAAAATAATCTTTATTACAAAATAATCATTAAATGGAGATTTTTATTTTTTACTCAAAAAATAATTATTATTTTCGGTCCTTGTTAAAAACTTTAAAGCCGTTGCGCACCGCCTAAAACGAATTATTTTCAACTTTATCTTTCTTTTATGGATTAAGAATAAAAAAGGCAGTATATGAAGGGATGAGAGGATGGCCTAGCTAGCTTCCTTTCTTGTTTTGTATGATATTTTTAATCATAATCATAATATTAAGAAAGGAAGCTAGCTTCGGCCAGCCGAAGCTTGTATACCAGCGGTCGGCAGCGTCCTATTAAGTGAGCATAGGGTTTTGTTCTGCCGGCGCGCTGCTCGCACACATATAACGTAGAACAGCGGTCTGCACACACACATCGATGAGCTGCCCAGTGCAAATTACTCACACAAACAAAATGTCAACGTATGTTTGTGCCGACCGCTGTTTTATACCCTTGCAGATAAAATAAATTCCTATGGGTGCCTTAAGATATAGTGGTCCGATCCGGCACGCTCCGACATATGTACTACCTGCAATAGAAAGAAGACTTTCGGGAAAGTTTAATCGCGATAGCTTTAAAACTGAGGGACTAGTTCGCATAGAAACAGACAGACGGACCCACGGACATGGCTAGATGGACTCGGCTATTGGTGCTGATCAAGAATATATATACTGTGGTCGGGCTAAAATTATAATACCCTCTGCAAGGGTATAAAAAGTCCACCCTTATGTACATATGTATGTAAAGTTAGACATACAAATGCATACTATTGACATAAAATTTCTTCCAGAAATCTTTTCCAACCAATTTTTTCGAACATTAATGTACAAAACCAACAGACTTCGGTTGAGAAAGATTTCTCCGACACCCCCGATTAAATATAAAATCGTGGTTTTTGACTAAAGTCACTCTTCTTAAAAGTTACCCATATACATATGTAATTACATATGTACCCCTGCAGTTCCCGAATTCAGACCGAGCGCTAAAATAGCACTGAATCGACTCTCACCAACCCCCTCTCTCTCAATCTCTCTCTTTACGAACAGGTGATGAATTTTCGTAAAAATTCACTAGGCCGACAGTGTCGCCGACGGACCGAAACGGTGCCAGAGACGACGCTCTCCCAAATTTTCCTCTCTCAATCTTTCTCTACCTGAGCAGTGTTAGAGACAACTTAGGCAAGAGCGATCGTGACAAAGGGAAGAGAACAAGAGAGATTGAAACAACAGATGTTGTTTTTCTTGCTTAGTATTCTTTTTAGTGTTGCCAGATGAAAATATTGCTTTTCCCCTAAAAAATCTCAAACAGTCGATACCCTGCAGGAAAAATGCGAACTAGTCTGAAAAACAACTAGTTATACAACTAATATAAAGCAACCGGAATTTGTCTGAATAAATTTGGACTACACAGGGTCTAAAAAATTTGTGCTAGTCGAAAAAATGATTAATACAAAACTAGTAAAAAAGAAACTTGTCTCGGACTAGTACCTTTCTGACAAAAAAAACCTTAAAAATATTTAACTGGTAGAACAAATACATGTTAGGGTCTAGTTAAAAGGCAACTGGAATTTAACTAGTTGCAAATGAAACACATATGATCCAAAAATATAGCCTAGAGTGTAAATGTCTTGGGGAATTTAGCACTAAACAAATCAAACACTCGAGGTCCTCCGTTCAATCCCCAGTCTCTGTACATTTTTTTTTTTTGTTTGGTAGGTGATGTTTCAGTTTTATTGTAAACTTTGTTTAATCTGTCCGACGCAATATATGTGTGAAAAATCACTGTTTATGAATTATGTCACACTAAAATTCATAAACCTTGTTAGGGCATTACAAAAGTGTGTGTCTACAAATCCAAAGGTCCCGGTTCAAGTCCTAGAGAGGGCGACTTGCCTCAAAAAAAGTAAGTTTGTTTTAATTCCATTTAATTATCATTTACTGTATTTGATTACATAATAATTATCAGAAATTCTCTAAGGACCGCGCCTATTAATTGGATACTAAATTAGGAGAGCGTCAAGTTAGGCATCGTCAAGTACTAGTGAAATCCAATCACTTGATGGTTTAGAGATTAATTTTTAGTTTATTCGTGAAAATATTTTTTTTAGTGTAGTTTAACAGCTGTAATCATAAATTGGTTAACTAGTGCAAAACTATTAGCAAATGGACTAGTTGTTTCCGACGACAAGCATATGAAAAATGGACCACTTCGTTACAAGGAAATGGACATAACTTGAACTAGTTAACCTTCTCGACCCAACTAGTATTTTAATAGTCCAAAACTGATTTCGTTTCCTGCAGGGTATTTTCTACCTAAAAAGTCCAGTGAACACTTTGGAAAACTCTTTCCATTTTCTTACGCTATTACGCTCGCTCTGCCTCTCTCGCTCAGACCCTCAGACCCTAGCGTTTTGATTGCATTTACGTTTTGATTGCATTTTCGTTTTGATTGCATTTCACGTGTTGATTGCACTTCACGTTGTTTTCGTAACGTTTTGATTGCCAGCGGAAAAGTATTAAAAAACTCAGCCGATCTGAGTACCTTTAGATTGGAAAAATCTGTGTATTCTGTATATGTGTATATCTGTATTTTTCAATATTCTAGTGATTTTTACAAACATTTGGGTAATCAAGTTTCCGAAAAAAAACCTAAACTTTCCCTCTAAAAAGGTCTTCCCTAAAAATCCCCCTAGCTAGTAAAGGGGGATAGCCCTTAATCTCCTTTTAATTTAAAATTTTAAAAAAATTATTTTTTTCCTTCACTTTTAGGAAACAAATTTTTTTTCTTAAAAAAAAGGCGGGACCACGCCAATTTTTCCAACAAAAATTCCTTTCAATTTAATATAGTAAAATCAAAAAACCGATTTGTTAATTATTGGGTAGTTATTAGTTAATAACACTGTGCAGAATTTTTAGTGCTTTTCAAATTTACCTCGATGGATGCTATATTTTTGTATTCGTTACGAATTCCCAAGTTAAACTGCGTTTTCCAAAAAGTTCCCCGACGCAAGAATTCTTAGCAAAAGGACCTCAAAGTTCGAAAAATGCTGAAATTGACCAACTTTGCGGAGCTCTCAGAGGCAAATGGATGCATGGTTTTATTCGATGTTAAAGTTTTTTAAAAGATACGCCCTTTATCTTTTAAACCCCATACTTAAAAAATTTTTAAGATTTTTTTTAAGGCAGAAACAAATTCTAGAAAACATAGTCCGTGTTGGCAGAAGCTGTACCACAGCTATAATTAAAATAGTTGAAGACATCAGGGAAAAAATGGATACTGACAACATAACATTTTTGACTCTTTTAGATTATAGTAAAGCATTTGATACGGTAAATCACGAAATTCTTTGTATTAAGTTAAAGCGTCTATGTAATTTCTCGCGCTCATCAGTGCAACTTATTTGTTCCTATCTAAGCAATCGCGGTCAGTCTGTTTTCGTAAATAATGTGTACTCGTCTTTTCTTTGTCTGAAGCGTGGTGTGCCGCAAGGATCCGTCCTAGGTCCACTACTGTTCTCAGTGTATGTAAATGATTTACCTAGTAATATGTCAAACTGTGAAGTACACATGTATGCTGATGATGTTCAAATGTATGTAAGCCGTCCTATTTGTAGAATTAATGAATGTATTGTTAGCCAGTGGGCGAAAATCAATGGGCTAGGATTAAACCCGAAAAAATCTAAATGTATTGTTGTAGGTAAAAGAGTGATGGCTACCGATGCATTGGAAAAACTATCTATCAATAATGCTCCTCTTGAGTATGTGAAAACTGCAATTAATTTAGGATTTACGTTTAATCAAACATTGACTTGGGATGATCACATTAATAAATCTGTGGGAAAAATGTATGCAATACTTAGAAACCTATACTTGACCAAAGACTTCTTACCGACCAAAATAAAAGAGACAATTGCAAAAATGTACCTTATACCGGTACTTTTCTATGGACTAGAGGTATTTAGTGACTGCAGCTCCGTAGGTCAGCGCAAGCTGCAGGTAGCGTTTAATAATGTGGCAAGATATATTTATAATAGACAGAGAGCTGACCATATAAGTGACGTTACAACTAAAATCTTTAACATGCCACTTAAATCCTGGACAAACCTTAGGGCCCTATTACTACTCCATAAAATTATAAGCAAGCAAGAGCCGTTGTACCTATATGAAAAACTTATTTTTAGTTCGTCAAGAAGAACCAGAAACATAATGAGCATTAAGTATAAGTATCTATGCACAAGAAGGCAGTTCCTTGTATATGCTGTTCGTAATTGGAACCAACTTCCACATACTATCAAGGCAATCAGTAATGAAGCTCAATTTAAAAACGCACTGCAAGAATATTTTAAGACAAATTAATAGCACCACCAGAACCTAGAGAGAAAGTGAGAGTAACAAAAAAAAATCAAAAATTACAGGTTAAAATTAAAATAAACTAACTAAAAATTAAGAATTCAAAAATTTAAAAAAAAAAAAAAAAAAAAAAAAAAAAAAATTAAAAATTATAATCAACATTTAAAATAAAAGTCAATTAAAATAGTAATAGTAGTAAGTGCCGACACAAATGTTAGCACATAAGTTAAGCTTTAAGTTCAGCCTTCAATTGTACACCCGTGACTAGCGCCTTAATTTATAAGTATGCTACATGCTTGTAGCGCTGGGATAGAAACAATCAAATAAATAAATAAAAAAGTCAAAAAACATAAAAGTATACAGCTGCGGTCAAAATGGTAGTAGTGTTGCCGCCCTGTGTATTTAAAAGTTTGTTGTTGTAATTGATCTTTTCCTGGTAATATTGTATTGATTATAATTTTACTATTAGACTAATTGGATAAGAAAAAATTACAACATGAAACTTTTAAAAACACAAGGCGGCAACACTGCTACCATTTTGACCGCAGCTGTATGTATTTCAGTTGTTTTTTGGAATTTATTTCTGCCTTAAAAAAAATCCTAAAATTATTTTATGTATGGGGTTTGAAAGATAAAGGGTGTATCTTTTAAAAAACTTAAACTTCAAACCAAGCCGTGCATCCATTTGTCTCTGAGAGCTCCGCAAAGTTGGTCAATTTCAGCATTTTTCAAACTTTGAGGTCCTTTTGCTAAGAATCCTTGCGTCGGGGAACTCTTTGGAAAACGCAGTTTAACTTGGGAATTCGTAACGAATCCAAAAATATAGCATTCATCGAGGTTTATTTTTGATGCTGCATAGTGTAATTAATGCCAAAAAAAGTGGTCAAATTACCCATAGTGCAACGTACCGAAGACCCCTACAAGTCAGCGAAGTTTGTACAAATCTATTAATTTAATGTAAATGTAATCTACCAAAAAAGAAGTATTAAAATGAATGGAAAATAAATAAGCCTTTTGATAAAGGCGATGAAATTAAAAATATTTTTTATGAAGATGGGTGGTGAACAGGTGATGATTTTAGGTAATAATTAGGCGCAAAAATAGCGCCGAAAAGGCGCCGAATTTAGTGATGAATTAGGCGATGAACAGGTGCTAAAAAAATTTTTAACAGTAATTCACTGCCAAAAAGGCGCTAAATGGAACTGCAGGATATACATATACATATGCACATACATACATACTGTCTACACATGCATACACATCCTTAATTACCGTTCTTGGTGAATCTTGATCTGCAGGGTAACTAGTCTCTCGACATGCATTAGAAAATAAAATTTGTCCAACCAGCCAGAGCCATTTGTGCAAGTACGTATGTACATATGTATGTAGGTACATCCATACATGTATATTCACTTTTGTTCACACATCCATAGGTACATACATATGTATGTATGTATGTTAGGGTGGGTCGATTTGGGACCCCAAAAATCGTATAGGGGGAACGTAATCTTTAACGGATTCTAAGCCATATTGGCGAACATACTTATGGTCTAAAATGACGTTTGACCCCCCCAAACGCGAATGAAAAATACTGCTTTTTTGAGAAAAATATCATAGTAGCCAGCACAGATATCTTACTGAATATCAAGTTCAAATTTTTTTTTTTAATTTTTTAATACATCTGAGCTGACTACTATGATATTTTCCTCAAAAAAAGCTGTATTTTTCATTCGCGTTTGGGGGGGTCAAACGTCATTTTAGACCATAAGTATTTTAGCCAGTATGGCTTAGAATCATTTAAAGATTACGTTCCCCCTATACGATTCATCACTTTTTTCGGCCCCATACAAATCGACCCGCCCTAATGTATGTACTTAGATTTCACACATTAAGCTTTAAGCTCTTGTGTAGTTCAGTCGCAATAATAAGTTGTTAAACGTGCATGCCATGCCTTCCAACGGGAAATGCTTTTGTTTTACATAGTACAAATAAAAAACAGCCGTAAATCGGATATATTTTTTTAGAAACAAACGAATGTTTGCAGAAAGGAGTTGCAAGTCAATGTGTGTATGTATATTTTTTACTGCTTACATTAAACGTAAATAAATTAAAGATTCACTGGAGCCCCAATTGTGCATACAGATTCTTTAAGTATGTATATTCAAAAGGATTTGAGTTTATGTAAATGAAATACACATATACATATGTATTAACATTTGAAGTTAATATGTACATAAATATGCATACACATGTATTGTATACAAATGAATGTCGCAATGAAAGTACATCGTTCAGTCCGCTGATTAAAGTTCTGTGTACATAGTTGACCACAAAGCGTACATGTGTATGTTTGTGGCTACATACATATGTATGTATGAATTAGACTGGCGATATTTTTATGGACCCAAAAAAATGTACAAATGTATATGTATCTTAAAAACGTTTGACCATCCGCATTTGCAAAAGAAAAATAACCAGTATTTCATGAAAAATATCACAGTACCCTTAAAAAATATACATATGTACATTGGTATGGACGCTAAAAAAGTCTATCTACAGTCTATTTTTTGACCCGGCTGCCGTCACCACTCATTTTTGTTTACATGTCGCCGCCTATGATAAATCTTAAATTTGGACTCTGTCAACCGAAAAAAGTGGAAAAATCCGAAAATTAAAAATTCACCATAAATCCAGTTTTCCATGGATTTAGGCCATATCCGGCTTGTTTTATTCGGTAGGATGTAAACTTAGGGTTTGTACCCATTATGATTTTTCAACGGATTTATTTCGAGTTTTTACGATATGTACAGCCGACTTACAGACGACCAAAAAACACATTTTTCCTCTTTGTCGAGCTTCTGCGCTGCCATTACTCATCCAATCGTATTGATCTGTATGGCAAAGTTAAGCTCTGATCTATTGACTTTAAAATAAAACTAAAACTGGCCCAACCGAGTGGATATCTGCCGAGATATAAGAAGAAATTCGAAAAAAGTCCAAAATTTAACATTTCAAACCTTAAAAAATCTTAAAAAAAAACTGTGCCATCGAAAAAAAATTTAGTGCTATTTTCGTGATCTAGGGGTCCAAATCTAACAGAATTTGCCATCAATTGCTGGGGAGCATTTCGGCTGTAAACTAGTGTTATTGACTTTTAAAAGTGTCTTAACTTACAGACCTCTTTTAAAAAATGTCGTTTTTTGGGACTTTTCAAAAAAAATAATTTTTTAGTTTTCCCTAAGGAAAAAATTTTTTTTTTTTTTAGATAGACTAACCTTTTGATTAGTACCAAACGCGTAAAGTTTCATAAATGAATGTCGAAATGGCAGATTAAAAACAAAAGGTGTACCAACCTACAGACCTCTCCCCTATATAAAATAAAAAAATTAAACGATTAAAACCAAAAAAAACGCCTCAGAAAACAAAAGTATTCGTTTGGCATGGCTTTATTCCGAAGTATTTTAAGATTTTTAAGTTTAAAAAATAATTTTAAAATTATTTTCTTTGGTCTAAAAGAACATTAAACAACCGTCAAAATGAGGTATCGTTTATTAAAATTGGTTAACAGCTTATCTAAAAAATGGTCTATACCATAACCAAATAAATAACTGCTGCGTCGAAAGGTTCTCAAAACGTCATTGCGGACACGCTTTCGAGACAGAATGAGTCAGTGGATGAATTCGTGAACCTAGGACCGATTATTGATTTGAAATCAGAACATTTTCGCTCGTTGGAATACCTTGACCTGATTGAACGCATTCGTCAGAATCAGGAAAAACCCCGATCCCAATACCGGCGAGCTGGGCACAGAGCGCAGTATAGTGCACTGAAACTCCGATTCCCTCTCCAACCGAGGCTGTTGCCCGCAAACAAATTGATGCCGTACCATTACAGATAAAATGGTTTCCATACAAATTTCCATACAAATTTCCATAGAAACAAAGCTTTCAGCTAAATAAGAAAGTTTTTATATCCTTTTTATACACTTGCAGAGGGTATTATGATTTCAGTCAGAAGTTTGCAACGCAGTGAAGGAGACGTTTTCGACCCCATAAAGTATATTTATTCTTGATCAGCATCACTAGACGAGTCTATCTACCCATGTCCGTCTGTCCGTCCGTTTCTACCCAAACTAGTCTCTCAGTTTTTAAGCTATCGGGATAAAACTTTCCCAAAAGTCTTCTTTCTATTGCAAGATCGGAAAAAAAAATTATAGCTTCAGTGCTTTTTGAAATATTAACTTCTACTCTTGGGAATGTTATTTTTTAAATATTTATGAATTTCGAATAAAATTTATAAAAAATCGGGACACTATGTCATATAACTGCCATAGGAACGGTCGGGAAATTAAATGCAAATTAATAGGAAAATAATTATTGCCTCGTTGGTTTTTATTGTATTTTCTTCTACTCTGGGATATGACTCAATTTAAATATTTCAGAATTTCGGTTTTAATTTGATCAACATTGAACTACTATATCATATAGCTGCCATAGGAGCGATCGAAAAATAATGAGAAATAATAGAAAATTTTTGCAATTTATTAATTAATAGGAATGATCTGCAAGGGTATATAAGATTCGGCTTGCCGAAGCTAGCTTCCTTTCTTGTTTAATTTTTTCTTATTTCTCGGTACATATCCACCCAATTGGGCCAGTTTTCGTTTCATTTTAAAGTCAATAGATCGGAGCTTAATTTTATCCATAGAGATGAATATGATTGGATAAGTAATGGTCGACTGTAAGTCGGCTGTGTAGATCATAAAAACTCGAAATAAATCCGTTGAAATCATAATGGGTACCAACTTACAGTTTACATCATACCGAAAAAAAAGAAGCCGGGCCGAAATCCATGGAAAATTGGATTTATGGTGGATATTTAAAGTTCGGATTTTTTAACTTTTTTCGGTCGACAGAGCTCAAATTTATGTTTTATCGTACGCGGCGACGTGTGTCTTATAGTGTCACAGCGTTCACAGGGACAGACGGACGGACGAACGGACAGACGGACTTGGCTAGATCGACCCGGATATTATTTAAATTTAACATGCGGCCGAGAAAACGGCCCTACATTTATTTTTAAATTTAGTCGTCCGCATAGACGATTCAATAGATTCTTTAATTTAATTAATTATAACAACAAGTTTAATTTTTCCCAAGAAAAACAGTTTAGCTATCAAGCCATTATGGAGATAACGATGTTCCAAAGTCCTTTAGTCTGTAAACTTCCGCCAACTAATCTAAACTCTTTGAACAATTCGTTTCTTTTATATTGTCTGGACGACCCTGCGTTAATCAGAAAAAAAGTTTGCGCTTTATTTTACAAAGAGTTTATAGACGTTTACAATTGTGACCACTCTTAGTGACAAATGACATATATAAGCGAGAATGTGCTGTAGGTCTTGATTTGGCTTCCCCGTTACTTGTAGAGTAAGAGAGTATATTATATTCGGGGAAAATATAATATATAGGTATATTATATATATATAATATATATATTAGACTGGATCGATTTGTATGGTAAAAAGAATGATAAATCGTAGGGGGGGGTGGACGCAATCTAAGCAATATTGCAAAAGAAACTATATGCCTAAAACCACGTTTGACCCTCGGTTTTAGGCATATAGTTTCTTGACCAAAATAGCAATAGAAGAAATTTTTTAATCGCACTATTCATTAAAAAGTTATGAGGTAAAAAAAAAATCATGTCAATCGAATAATCCATCGTTGTTTTATTGCAACTTAAAGTCCTATACCTCTAAGAAAAGCACCGTCCTCTCTTGTTTTTTTTTACCCTTCCCTATGGCAGCTATATAATATAGTCGTCCGATTTTAGTTAAATTTAATTCGAAATTCTTACATATTAAAAACAAGAAAGGAAGCTAGCTTCGGCAAGCCGAAGCTTATATACCCTTGCGGAACATTCTATTAATTTACAAATCGCAAAAAGGTTAAATTTCCTATTATTTTACATTAATTTTTCGATCGTTTCTATGGCAGCTATATGATATAGTCGTCCGATTTTTTAAATATTTAATTCGAAATTCAGAAATATTTAAAAAACAACATCCCCAAGAGTAGAAGGTAACATTTCAAAAACACCGAAGCTAGAATTTGTTAAATTTTTCTTTCCGATCCTTCCTATGGGAGCTACAAGATAGGGGAGAGGTCTGTAGGTTGAGACGGTCTGTAAGTTGAGACACTCAATTTTCTCAAAACTTATCCACTAAAAAAATTGTTTTTATTTTTTTTTTTGTAGTCCTTTTTAGTGACAAAACTTTTGTTGAAAACATTATAAGCCAGGCTCTAGCCAGATTAAAGCTGTGAGAGTCGTGTACCATTTTTCACCAAAAAAGTTTTTGTCAACTTTTTTCAAAATTCCATTTAAAATTAATAACGTCCTTAAATTAACTTGGTAAGAGATGTAAAACATAAGTATATTAACTGTTCACTAATTAAAAAAAGAATCAGCTTAATGTGACAGTCAGAACAAAAGTTATTAATTTTTTCCCGAAACATCCCATTTTGTGTAAGTTGAGACACCCGTTTTTCATACAAAGAGGCCTTAGGCCAACAGAGGTCGCTTTCTGCCTAGTACATTTCTTTGATATTAGGGGAAAAGTGAATGTTCAAAGAGCCTTTTGATTTTAATTGTTATTTGGTCGAAGTTCTTAAAAAATGGATGGGAAATGATTTAGGACGAGCTAAAATTGATTAAATTAACATAAATAAATAGTTCCTTATAGTTTGGAGTACTTTTTTTAAAAAGTGTCTCAACTTACAGACCTCTTTTTCAAAATGTCGTTTTTTGGGACTTTTAAAAAAAAAAAATTTTCAGTTTTCCCTAAGGAAAAAATATTTTTTTTGTTTTTTATTAAGCTAATAGACTAACCTTTCGATCAGTACCAAATGCGAAAAGTTTCATAAGTGAAAGTCGAAATGGCAGATTAAAAACAAAAGGTGTACCAACCTACAGACCTCTCCCCTATAGTTGTCCGATCTGGTCGGTTCCGACTTATATACTACCTGCAATAGAAAGAAATTATAAATTATAGTACCCTCTGCAAGGGTGTAAAAAATATATCTTTGTTGATTTTTTTTACATTCTCTTCTTCTCTGATATATAGGTTTTCTTTGACATTTTAAAATTTCGAATTAAATTTAACAAAATTCAAACAGCTTTATTATATAGATGCCCTAGAAAGGATCAGCAAATTAATGCCAACATAATAAGAAAGCAGATACAATTTTGTTGGATGTTACATATATGGAAGTAAATCTAAATTTAATGTTTTTGTAAGTTAATAAGAATGATCTACAAGAGTATATAAGCTTCGGTTGGCCGAGGCTAGCTTCCTTTCATATTTTAAACTATTTTACTATATTCGCACGTCATTGTAGCTATACATTCAACGATCTTTTTTCATTATTTTACTTCCTTTATGGTTTTGTGTAGGTACAAGGTGCAATATTCGAGATTATATTGCTAATCTAATCCACCAAAACAGTTTTTAGATTAAGAATTCTGTTATCTCACTTTTTCTTGAGTTATTACTTAATATTTGGCCCTGCCATGTTTCAAAATATATATTCGGATATGTGCACATATTTGTATATAAGTGTTTCTCTAATTTGAAACTATCTTTTTTTTAATGAGAATACTTTGTAAACATATTCGAAAATCTTGTTGTGAATACTATTTTTAGATATCCGTAAGGGCTACAGAGTGTGGGTGTTATCAAATAATTTGGGGTCCTATCAACTTCAACGTAATTCTATTGCGAAAATACTTTTTAAAAGCCTTACTAACTAGTTCAGTTACAAAGCGCGGCGAATACGGACTTGATTTTTGTGGCGGAAAATCGTATTTCGAGAACTTATCATTGCAAATATAAAATTGACAAAAGAGCCGAATCGAGTAAAGGGAAATTTTAATTGTGTTTCATATTAAAGTTTCCTAGGTAATTTCCCCAATACATTCATTTAACTTTTTACTTATCCATCATAAGTATTCACTTCGGTTTACAATTATTTGTTCAAACCCTAATTTTCTTATCCTCTTTTCCGATTGCACAATTCCTTACGTTTGATTTCAATTTAGTGAAATATTCTTTATTCCTTTAAAATCAAATTCGGTTGGCTTCCGACTTTGGTTGGAAGAGATTGTCGATATTGTATTTGTTGAAAAGTATGTTACAAGTTAATCGTTTTTATATAAAGTAATTCTATTGTCATTGCCTAAACGTGTATGGAAAAATTGTAGTATATAAAAAGAATAGGAAATAAATACAAAATATACCGAGAAACACAAAAAAATACTCCGAAATACAAAAGACCCTAAAAGTACCTAACTTTTGCCCACATCTAGTTGCCTATACACAGCCTATGTAAAAAAAACAGGGTTATGTCAATAACCCCATAACTCCATAACTCCACCCCAGTGTAAATAGGCTATAAAAAAGCGTCAAAAACGTTTTTTACACTTAAAAAAAAAACTGTACCATACAAAAAATTAAAAGTGCTCTTTTCTTACACAGGGAGCGTATTTCATCAATTTTTTCTTGTAAACTGGTGTTATCATACAAACGACTAAATAAATACACTTTTCAAAATGTTCGCTAAGACCACCACAGCATATTTCCATTTCTTCGTTTAAATACGGTAGTCGCCTTTCCATACTCTCTTCACTTCGTCACTACGTGGACTGCTGTCCACAGTGATAAGTAAAATACATATTTACGAGCAGAAGCTCAACGAAGATGAAAAAGGTTTTTTGGTCTTCCGTAACTTTTATTCATGACTTTTATATTAAAAGTCTAAAAATAACTGTTATTGTGCGACTGAAACACAAAAAAGTCCAAAATATCTCTTGCCAATGACGTCAATAATTCTCATCTGTTGAAATTCGGTTGGAATTTGTACTTATGTATGTTCTTATACAGGGGTGTCACAGAAACCGTCGACGGTTTTGGGGACGGTTGGTTTAGAAACCAACCGACCAAAACCGTTGGTGTCACAGGAATTCAAGAGATTTATTTTTTTCGGAAAATTTACCAAAAAACGACCAGGGCTGGACGCATACACTAAATATCGAATATTCAATAACACAGGTCAACAAAATGGACTTTATTAAAAGGTGCAGGCCTATTGGCATTAAAACATGTTAATATAGACGTATATAAGCATATCTGCATACTTAGTTTTCGCGTTTAACGGGTGGTATTTGGGCAATCGCGGTTTGAAAAAAATAGCAACATTAAATTTTATGATTTAAGATATCTTCGAGGGTCTGTGCTCAGTTGTAATAATACCTACGCCAAAAAATTGCTTAGATGCCCTTCTACATTAAGAAGAACTTAAAAAGTAACAACTATTTTTAAATCTCATTTTACATAAATATCTGACACATTCGTAAAAATGTGCCTTTCAATTTGGTTAGCAGTAGGCGCCGAACATAGACAAATTATATTTTTAAGGGGATAATATGCCTTAAAAAAAATCCCCACCACAATTTTAAGGCGACGCCACTGTTATCTTTAAAAAGCCTACTGTGTAAAATCACGACAAACTCGTTACATAAGAGTGACTCTAAAATACTTGTTACTTTTCCCATTCTTACGGAAAAAATTCTATAAATTCCATTTTTCGAAGTACAATAGTGGGATTTATCTCAAAAATTCGGGAAAAGACGCCTCTAGATGCATGTAAAATATTTTAGGGCACATATTTTTCCTTGTATTTTTTTAAGCCTGTTCACCGCATCAAGTTGGTTGTAAATAGAGGTGAACAAATTACTTCAATGGCTCATAGGCTTTTATTAACTCAAATAATGATGGAACCTTAAATGCAATTATGTAGAAGGGCATCTAAGCAATTTTTTGGCATAGGTTTTATTAGAACTGAGCACAGACCCTCGAAGATATCTTAAATGAAAATATAAAATGTTGCTACTTTTTTCAAACCGCGACTGCACAAATACCACCCGTTAAACTCGAAAACTAAGTATGCAGATATGCTTATATCCGTCTATATTAACACAATTTAATGCCCATAGGGCTGCACCAAAAACACTGTTGGCCTGTGTAATTATTGAATTTTATTTGACTTATTTGGACTATTTTCCAATAAATTTTAAACTTAATTTATGTTTTTCTTGCAAAATTACAAAAAGAATATATGTTTAAAGCGCATATTGTACATAATAAAAGAAAAAAATTAAAAATTTGAATTACCCGCCAGGCTACATATTGCAGCCCTGAACAACGGTTTGCCGCGGCTGCGTTGGTTTATTTTCATTTCTATATTGGCAAGATTTTTAAAAGCAAACCAAAATGCCGTCTGCTTGCGAAGGTACTTGCGAAGGCATAAACTGCGAGAGGCTAGGACGCAGAGGAGATCCTTACAAACGGTTTTACATGGACTACCATGGAGATTTAACCCATTGGCCAGGTCCTTTCACAAGAATGCGGCCGCCCTAAGTAAATCCTTTGGCAATGTCGATATTATCGCGAATGAATCGGAAGAATTTGGTGTCTTGCGCTGGTAACCTATGTTTACCCCTGAAAATTAGCAAAGCTTATTAGTTTAAATTAATAATAAACAAAAATGTTGTACTTTTTTACATGTATGTCTTCTTCTTCTTCACAGCCAGCGTTTTACCTGGCAAAAATAGGACATTTTTTCACGACAGTGATGCCAACTTTTTGCAAAAGGCGGCCTGTTTGTATTAATTTCTCAATAGCTACAACTTCTTTTACCATGAAATTTTTACCAGAAATAAGTTTCATTTTTAACTACAATACTTAGTACCTTTGAATAAATAATTCGTTAACAAACCATTTCGATAACTAACTCCGAAATTTGGACAAATTTGGTATTTTAAAGTGCTAGCTAATTGGTAACACTGCCAGGTAGACGGTTTGCCGACGGATTTCTTTTAGCTAATTTTTTCGAGACGTTTTATAAAAAGCATATTTTTAAATATAAACCGAAAAATCGTAGTATGCAGGTAGTTCATAAAATTCATTAGAGTTGTCTTAAATAAAGTTATATTTTTCGGAAACATTTGTAAGTTGGGTAATTTTATCAAAACGTCCGGCAAAATACGGGGGATTTAGAAACCGTCAAAAATGACGTCTGTGACACCGAGATTTGCTATTCGGGAGAAATTCGGTTGGAATGGTTTTCTGTGACACCCCCGATAATGGCAATTTGTATTTACCTATGAATTCTTTAATACAACGACACCGCAAATTCTTTAGGGCAAGAGGAACGCATATTGCCATGAATTACATACATGAATTCATCAACGCAATGAGACCGCGAACTGTTACGGTCCCTGAAATAAATCCGTTGCAAAATCATAATAAGGACCAATATAAAGTTTACACCGTACCGAATAAAACTAGCCGGGTATAACCCAAATTCATGTAAAATTGGATTTTTGGTGGATTGTTAAAGTTTGTATTTTTCAACTTTTTTCGGTCGACAGAGTCCAAATTTAAGATTTATCATAGGCGGCGACGGGTCAGTAAATAGATTAACCAGATATTTAAAAGCTAGAAAATTAATTTTTGAAATTATGGTTACCCCTTTAATAAGAATGAATTATCCAAATGGATAGGACTTATTAAAAATACTCACTGTCATAACGCAAGCAATTTTATATTTTTGAAGGAATTTTTAGAAATTAAAATCAATTTGTAATTTTCGAGCTCTTAAATTGAACTTTTTTTGACCCGGCTGTCGTCACCACTTATTTTTGTTTACATGTCCTCGCCTGTGATAAAACTTAAGTTTGGACTCTGTCAAACGAAAAAAGTGGAAAAATCATATCTTTAAAATCCACCATAAAACCCACTTTCCATAAATTTGGTCCAAGAATATTATTTTTAAAAAGAATATTATTTTGTTTTTATTATTTATACTCTAAATTATTATATCTTTTATGATAATTCTAATTTTCAGCCCATTTTCACCTGATTTTGGTCATCGATCGAAACCAATCGACCCAGGTCAATTCCATTTTATACAATAATGAGTGTTCTATCCAAATATGTTGATCGTATTGCTGAAAAATGTGAACATAATGGGCTTACCAAACACGCATTTAGCTATGCTCTTGTGACAAGTGCAATACTTGCACTTACAATCAAGGTGACTATTCCTTATGTGAAAGATGCACGTACTACATCTAGCGGAAAGACTCTAAAAGGAAAATCTAAAGCCAACAATGGGGCACTTACGCCATCGGAAACAGATAGTTCGGAAGAGGATTTAAAACTGGCAGAGGCTGAAAAGTTGTTAGTTGCCCAGCAGCTAAAAAAAAAGTCTAACAATTTTATTGAGCCCGGACTAAACACTGAGTTTATTAAACAACTGAAAATGCTGGCAAAAATAATGATTCCGCAAACCTTATGTTATGAAACTGGGTTGCTAAGCATTCATACGTTTTGCCTGATTTCTCGCACATTTCTTAGTATTTATGTGGCTGCTTTGGAGGGGGCTCTTGTTAAATTTATAGTACGGAAGGACATTAAACAATTCGCTCTTGTATTGCTCAAATGGTTTGGAATTGCTATCCCTGCTACATTTGTTAACTCTATGATACGTTTTCTTGAAAGTAAACTTGCTCTGGCTTTCCGGTAAGTAACATATTTGAGTACATAAGAAAGTATACAATTTATCTTTTTTATTTAGAACCCGACTGGTGCGTCACTCATATCGGCTTTATTTTAAAAATCAAAATTACTATAGAGTTTCGAACTTGGACGGTCGCATTGAAAATGCAGATCATAGGTGAGTTCTAAGATTTCTAACAATATATGATTCAAAAGTAAAAGAATTTGTAATACAGTTAGCTTTCTTATAGACTTACCGAAGATATTTCCGTGTTCGCTAGCTCTGTAGCTCACTTGTATAGTAGCTTGACTAAACCATGCTTTGATTTGATGCTTATTGGCTTGGCATTGATGAGATCTTCTAGAAAAATGAAAGCGAACATTCTAACGGGTTAATTAATTTTTTATAAATATCTTTCATGCATAACTGAATATTTCATTCCAAAATGTAGGACCGGCTTTGTCAGTTGGTGTAATCGCACTAACAGCCCACATATTACGAGTCGTATCACCGAAGTTTGGACAGTTGGTATCGGAAGAAGCCAACAGATATGGGTACCTTAGACACATTCACTCCCGCATAATAACAAATGCAGAAGAAATCGCCTTTTACGGTGGTCATAAGGTGAGTGTGTGGTTTGATTTTTCAGTTATCAGTGGTTGAAAAATGCTGAATCAAATGTAATCAAGAAAATTGTAGTGATTCGAGTAGAATTCCCTTGAGAGCGGGTAAGAGTGGATATTACCACCAATCCATGACAAAATTTTAAAACAAGAAAGGAAGCTTGTATACCCTGCAGATCATTCCTATTAAATTAAAAATAATAGCATAATAAATTTTGTTTTATTATGCCCGTTACCCATAGAGGAAAAGGGTATGTTAGATTCGTGCAAAAGTATGTAACAGGTAAAGGGAAGCGTTTCCGACCCTATAAACTATATATATTCTTGATCAGGATCACTAGCCGAGTCGATCTAGCCATGTCCGTCTGTTCGTCTGTCTGTCTGTCTGTCTGTCTGTCTGTCTGTCTGTCTGTATGAACGCTGAGATCTACAAAAGCTAGAAGGTTTAGATTTCCCACACATATCCTTGGGCTTCCTACGCAGCGCAGCCACAATCGCCCACTAACGATTTTTAAATGTGTCTGGGTCCCACACCTTTAAAGATTTCCGAGAAGTATGAATGTAATTTTGTTGTGTATATTTATACCTATCGAAGACATTTTTCAAATCGTACCATTCATATGCGCAATCAAAAAAATGTTATATATCTACCCATCTTGTTTCAAATCGTACCATTCGAGTAACGGGTATCTGATAGTCGGGGCGCCCGACTATAGCCGATCATATCTCGGCCATTTAATAACATAAAATCAAATACAATATTTTTTAAAATACGTGACTAGTTGTAAAAAGCCAAAATTTTTTACTCACACAAAACAAATTATAGCAGTTTATTAATAGAAATGATCGGCAAGGGTATATAAAATTCGGTTTGTCGAAAATAGCTTCCTTTCTTTTCTTTTAAATGATGTGGAAATGTAGCTCGGGGTATCAACTGTGCAAAACAGTCATTCCTTTGTTTTGGGCACCCATTTTAAAAGAATTTTATTTAAGACTATGACTTTTTAATTAACATCGGTCACTTTGTGGTAATTACAAAATTACTTAAGAACTAAAGGGAAAAATTTGATTTAAAGAAACAATAATTATTTTGACATTTAGAAACAAATTAATTTTAATAATACATGTTTGATTTTTTCTTAAAATCAAAGCAAAGAAATGTCAAAACATAAAAGGTTATGCCGCGTTGAGTTCGAAAGTAAATTCCTAATCGATTGGCGTTAAGATACACTAAAATTATAATAAATACAGGGTGGACGGTGAGGCCTTCAGTTGATGTAGCAGCAATTCCATTTGCTAACAATTGTTTAAAAATAACATCCCCGCAAAAAAATCACGAAATAGAACTTATGTAAGATTGTAAGAATGTAAGATTGTAAATGTAAGATTTGTTAAATTAAACAAGTTAAAAAACCAATGACAGGAACAAGTATTTCAAACTACAGACCTCTAGATATTAAATTACATATTTTTAATTTTAGGTGGAGATGCAGCAGCTACGGCAGGCATACAATCGTCTTGTAAATCAAATGACTACCATATTTAACCAAAAACTTTGGTTTATTATGCTCGAACAATTTTTTATGAAATATGTATGGTCCGGTACTGGAATGATTATGGTGTCACTTCCAATTCTGACAGGCAGTGACGTAGGATCTGCAAGAACTCGGGACACGGCCATTACGGAGTCACGAGTTAGCGAACGTACTCAATATTTAACTACAGCTAGAAATTTACTAATTTCTGCAGCAGACGCGATTGAGCGATTAATGTCTTCTTACAAGGAAATCGTGTCGCTGGCTGGTTACACACATCGCGTGGCTGGCATGATGGATGTGTTTGAAGAAACTGCTCAGGGAGTCTATTGCAAGTCGAGTGTAATAGAAAACGACCAGTCAAGCGGTATTATTGAGTTCCGGAATGGAAAACCAATTGCAAAAGGCCGCATTATTTATTCGGATGATCCGGAAAATATGTCAATAAACCTACGTGCAGTGCCAGTAGTGACACCCAACTGTGATATAGTTGTACCAAAACTTACGTTATGCATAGAACCTGGTGTGCATTTGTTAATAACAGGACCGAATGGATGCGGAAAATCCAGCTTGTTCAGAATACTAAGTGGGCTTTGGCCCATATACGCCGGAGAATTGCAAATACCACGGCCTGTAAAAGATGTTCCATGTATGTTTTACATTCCACAGCGTCCATATATGTCAATTGGAAGCCTATGTGATCAAATAATATACCCCGACACGCGAGATGATATGAAACGCAAGCAAATAACTGAAAATGAATTAAGATCCATTTTAAAGTTGGTCAGCCTAGAACACATCGCCCAACGGTAAACAATTAATTGTTTTTGTTATTAAACGATAATTTGTGAATACAATTAATAATTTAATTTCAGTGACAGTTTTGACGTTGTTCGTGACTGGAAAGATATATTATCTGGAGGTGAAAAACAACGTATGGCGATTGCTCGCTTGTTTTACCATAAGTAAGAACAAATTAATTTGCAACATTTTTATTATTCAAGCTTGAAAATTAATTTAAACTAGAGCACTGCATGAATCAAGAGTTTCCGAGACATTTTATGTTTCGAAACATTTTCATTTTTCTTTCTAATATTTAAAAATCTCGCCATTGAATTGCTAGCCTTTTTAATTGGGCACAAATTTTTCTTGTTTTTAGTAAACTTTACTTTAGTAAACTTTAACTTAAAATATTAAACAATTTTTAGACTTAAAGGCAAAAAACATTTTTGTTTATTTCCGAGGGCTGGCGATTTAAAGGCGAGATTTCTAAAGTCTGCAGCGTGATAAATAACAGTAATAGATAATTATACCCGTTACTCGTAGAGTAAAAGGGTATTTTGTATTCGTGCAAAAGTATGTAATACCTAGAAGCATTTCCAATCTTATAAAGTATATATATTCTTGATTAGGATTACTAGCCGAGTCGATCTAGCCATGTCCGTCCGTCCGTCTGTTTGTCCGGATGAAAGCTGAGATCTCGGAAACTAGAAGAGCTAGAAAGTTAAGATTACCCGCACATATTCATGGGACGAAGCGCAAGTTTGGGTAAAGCTCTAGATTAGCGGACTCACCCCCCAAATTCGCGAAAAAAATTATTCTCGAAGGACCGCGATTTCATATAAATCTACGTTCAAAATGAACTTGGCGGTCGGCCATGGTTCTCTTGTAATTGAATTTCAAAGTTCCCGGCTTTGCTATAAAAAACAAAGGTACTTGGCTTATATTTTCAATCAAAGTAATTACATTTCAATGAGCTCCTATTAAATAAATTAATTATTTAAATGAGTAAATAAATAAGAGTAAATAAGCAGTCAGCACATTCTGCAGTGTCAGCCGACCCACCTACGTAAACTGCGACCATAATCAGAGCATACTGACCTACTCCATAATACAACTCATTCCACTATTCTTTACACTTAACTTCCTCATCTCCAAGTAGTATATAACCATGTACCAAGCTCACAATAAATCAGTTATCAATCCATCTTATAACTTCGCGGTCTTTCTTTCTGACCTCCGAGAAGAGGACTCGTACTTGGGTCATTCCACGTGAAACGTGACAGGGCAATTTGGGTCAAATCTCAGAATCAATCGAAACTTTTTTTTTTCGATAGAGAATTGAAATATAAGGTTCGGTTTTTATTTATTTTTTTTTTTAACTTTTACCGTTTACTTTTAAAAATCTTTTTGTAAATTAGCTCCGATTTTTCAGAGTATGCCGCACTTGAGACTCGTTTGAGTTATTTTAATATTTGGTATGCAACTTTGTGAGACAGAGCTTAATATCTTCAGAAAAATATTTAAAAAATTTTTTTAATTTTAAATAAAGTATTTTTTAAGGGAATATAAAATTTAAAAAAATTCTGTATGCCGGATAGAGCCCTGCATGAATCATTCAATTTTTGTTTTATCATATTATGCCATGAAATTTCTGATTTGTTTAATTCAATTCTATGTGAAATAAATTGAATGTTGTTCTAATTCATTTCGAATTGAATGAATCGAATGAATTATTTTATGAATTTTTTGAATTTTTCAGATTTCTTTTGTGTTTTCTTTTGAGAACAAAAAGTGGAAAATTTTTAACAAATCAATGTTACCTGCATAGTAAATAAAATTTAGGCAGATTTTATCACAAAATAATGGCCTTTTCTTCCTCAAAATAAATTGTCGTTTGAATTATTTCGGAATTCATGTCATTCATTCATTCAATTCTATTAAAGTCAAAATTCAAATTCATTCAATTCTATTAAACACAAAATTCTAATTAATTCATTCATATAACCGAAAAAAATTCAAAATAATTCATTGAATCCATTCATGCAGGGCTCTAATGCCGGAATACACGCGATTTCCGAAAAAAATAATCATCCTCATATAGCTTCATCAATTCTTCACGAAGTGGTAAAATTAAATTTTTGTATTTGCAAGACCTACTAGTAAAGACAACGATTTTAGTTTAGCGACTTTGCATCAAGCAACAACAGCGCAATGTGCAGGAAAGGGAAAGCACTATTCCTGCTCTCCCGTGTTCGTATTGCTGTTCTCTTCTTACACGTTGCGCTGTTGTTGCTTGATTATAAAACTAATTTCGGTTTATAGGCGTGTAATTTTAAAGGAGCCATTTATGCCAGCATTTTTGCGTTTTTTCCAACTGTTTCAACTTTGGCAACTTGTAGCTTCTAAACTAATGAATGGATCTCAATGCTGTGTATAAGAAAGTTAGAGGGCATTCTATTAATCACAGATCGAGTTAGAAATTAAAAAAGCGTTAAAAACGTTGTACATTAGTGTACCTTAACCGAAAATCATAGTTTCATGAAGTGCATATTTCATCAATTTTTTTTTGTAAACTGGTGTTATTATTAAGTTATTAAGTTAAAAGAATCAAAAACAACACATTTTCATTTTAAGACTATTAAGAAACTGTTTTGACCAAAGGCAAAAAAGGCATTGCACTGAAACAAATGCGGCATTATCCTTCAGACCGGTAGCAAAGGACATGATTGAAATTTGGCAGCCACCACATCAACCAAATCTTGTCTACGCCACAGGTTTAATGCATACTGTTTTCCTTTCAGGCCACGTTACGCCCTACTTGATGAATGTACAAGCGCGGTATCTATAGATGTTGAAAGCTCGATATATGAAATCGCTAAAGGCATGGGAATTACGCTATTAACAATAACACACAGACCTACTTTGTGGTATGATTTTATTATATTAAGCATTTCGCATAAATTAATTGATAATTTTACATATTTAGGAAATATCACACACATATATTGGAGTTCGATGGCCTGGGAAGTTGGCAGTTTAGAAAAATGAACGTAGATGAACAACAAAAAGAACTATTTCTTTCGTAGTACCATCTAAGCTAAGCTCGCGAACCTTAAAATGCCCTTTAAGAATGTATTTGTCAGGCTCCTTCGATTGACAGTTACAGAATAGGGTCCTCCGATTTTGATAAAATTATAAGTCCTCAGAATATTAAATAAAGCGTCTATAACTTGATGCAAGATCATAAACCATGTGAAGAGGAAAATAACTTTCAAAACCGAAGCATAGCTTCGCCGGGGCGGTCCCTCGCTCTCCTATGAAGCCTTAAATTACTTGTGCCACTCAAGCGGCCTGTTTTAGGTTTTTTGCCTTCATCGCGGTACTGAGATAAGCAGAAAATGGTAAGGAAATACCAAGTAACTTTGTGATTTTTTTTATAAAAACTGGTTGGATGGATTTAATTCAAACCGATTGTATATTTTAAAGAGTCATGTTACATCTACCAAGTGTGACAGCATCATCCGATGAAGACAACAATCAATTACGTAATTAGATCATTCAATTACGTAAGAATATCTAACCTCACCTGCTAAGTTACATAATTGTCGTCGAAGACGCTTAGAATGCAGAAAAGTTCCACGTGGCCGTCGGCACGCGCCGAATGCGGATACAAGAAAATGACACCTATGGTGAACAGGTGGATGTACTTGCGGGACACACGGAAATTGGACACTTTGCAGGTGGATGCGTTGCACTCTAACTTCACCATGGGGGAGTTCAAAATGGGTGCATTAATGAGAAGGGATTCTGGATGGAACGGGAATTTCAATAGGAACGATGGAATTCACCTCTTTCCGATCTTAGTCCCGGAAATCCTTTATAAAGAGCCGCATTTGCAAAGGGAAGATCAGAAAAAGAATCGGGCTAAATGTGAACCGTGAACTTAAAAGTGAAAAGTGCTAAGTTAAAAGGATAGGAAAGACATAAAGAGCATAATCCTGACCAAAAAGGACATTCTTAGTCCTCTTGGAAAAAGGACGAGGCCAGTCCTGACAATAGTCCTGCCAGAAAGGACTAAAGGATCCAGGAACAAGAAAGAAAAAAACAATATATAGTTGGTCCTGGCTAAACAAATGCAAATGGGAGGAAAGTCCTCTAAGGCCGATAACGACTCAGCTAACGTTGTCAACAATGTTCAAGTAGTTGATCACTCAGAACAGATTGATAAACTATACAACGTCCTGATCATTATCGCTGTACTTTTGCTCCTTAATGTGGCTATGAATGCATATGTAATGCTCAAGCGCAATTTGAGGAAGAAATACACAGTGAAAAATAGTGATATCGAACGCGCTCTGGGCTCAAATACCATTTCGCAGAAATAAAGTGAAATCTAAAAACAATTAAAAGTTTACAAAACCATCGGAGAAAAGAACTCCAAGGACATAGATCCTAATTTTCAAATACAAATAATAGACCACAATCAATAAATCGCGGAAGTGTTCTATATTCTCGTTTTTATTGCCGCTCCTCATTTAATCCAAATCGCGATGAACATTCGAGGATTGCGAAAAGTACAACACAATCATCCTTTTGCAGTATAAGCACGGTTGCTCTTTTGAGCCAAATCTGGCTCTTTTTTTCGCGTTGCCTCTTTGTCCCATTTTTATTGAATTTGGCTCTTTGTTTAATAATAGCGATATAAAATATTTTAAAGTTGGCAAAAACGAATACATTTTTTTAATTAATCATGCAATTTTAAAAGTGAATAATGTCTGAAACCCAAAAGTGCCAGATCGAAACTAAATTGTTCCCCGGGTATGGTAATTTGGTGTATGGTAAAAACTTGGCTCTTTTTTATTAAAATTGGCTCATTTTTAATCTTTTTTTGGCTCATAAAAAATTTTTGAGATAGTATAAGTGTGCCGAGAAGATAAGTTCATGAAGCAGTAAACCGCCAACGGCGCCAAAGTATAAACCCATTGACACAACGAAATCGGAGTGGAGTGAAGACCCGTCTACCAGCGACAGTCGTGTGCCACGGAAAACGCTAAATCAGCGAAATTATATATTATTATTTTTGTTGTGCGAACTTAATTTCAACCATATGTATAACTTAGTGTAATAAGTGAATTATAACCACATATTGTTACCCCAAAAGGGTGTAGACGTGCACAAATATATATTTAACAAGTCTTCAAGATTACAGCCCATACAACAGTAAGGAGAGCTCTCTTCGCTGGAGATACTAGAGGGTGAGTTTTACGTAACCCAAGTTCCCCTCTCTTATATATATATTGTTTCTTATTTATATATATTTATGCATATAAAGAATACATAATGTTAACTACGAAAGGTTTTGCTAAAACTTATGAGAAGGATTTAGATTTCAATAGTCGATCCAAACATGTTTTAATGAAATGTTCTCTTCCAATATCTGTTAATGAATTCGAACAAAAATATATGGATTTATACAATCTAGATTTTTCTCCGATTAGCCATTGCACTCAGAAAGCGATTGTTATAACTACCCCTCCGTTTACCAAGGTATATTCTGTCATTGAAGAAAATCAATTTCTCGGCAGAATTATGAAGTTAGTAATTGCTCGTAAATAATAAGTTTCGAGAATCAAATATTTACTTTTTATTATTATTTTTATTATTTTTATCTTATACTTAAATTTTATTATTAAGTACCTTTAAATACTTTTACTCTTAAATTATACTTAAAATATTAAGTACCTCTAATTTACCTATATTTGTAATAATACTAAGCATTTATATACCAAGTGCATGTTAATTAAATTTTGGTTCTAACTTAAGGCCACAGCACCTATAGCTACTATTAAACACCAAGGTTATAGGCAATTTATAATTTCCTTTTTAACCTGACAATAAATAAATAAATAAAATAAATAAATATATTATTAAGGACTATCTTGTTAATTTACTTTATTACCATCTAATTAATTTTAACTACTTTTGTTATCCATGTTAATCATATGTATAGGTAATATTTCAATAATATTGTAAACTCTGTATTCCGTGTATCTATTAAATAAAAATTTGTTTTTCAGCGGGAGGTATCCGCACTTATATTTGCATGTTCAAATATAAGCAGCCCACAGAGCGACTTTTTTGTCATGGATAGTCTGCAAATCTTCTTGCTGACGTGCGCGCCTTTACAACCGATCAATTCGATACCTTCCGTAACAAAATACCAAGTGTCTTTGGTGCCTACATTGTCATTAATTGGTAATGCCAGTGTCATAAACAAAGATTTTTTGCCTATACTTTATGATTGATTTCAATATATATTTATTAAAGGGGGACATACATATAGAAAAAATAAAAATGCAATTTTATTTTATTCCTTAAATTGGTAGAATAACTCTCCAAAAATGTGTCATGAAAGTTTCACAAAGAAATTCGAACTATTTTGGAAATTATACCAGAATGACGGCACCCACCTTCCTTTTGCAGTAGATATATTTTATTACTTTAAATGCCTTTTTCTCGAAACCACGTTTTCCTCAGCTGCGGATCGTGTATCTCAAAAAGTAATGCTTCGATAATCATGGAAATGTCATCATTACGGAAATGTTTGTAATAAAATTGCCCACTGTCTGAACCTACTTTATGTAGAAATTTTAACGTTGAAGTATTTTTTGTAAAGCAAAAACAAGAAAAATAAGAAAAAAATTAATTTTTTACTTTAAAAGAGCGCCCCAACCAGAGTTTTTGACATATTCTATGTAAGTTAGGTTCAGGCAGTTTCTACATTATTTCTCTACAAAATAAATTTGGTTTCACACAGCGACCTGTAGACGATCCGCAGACGGCCTTCTTTTTTTAATATAGCCTGAAAAAAAATTCCCTCGGCCGCCATTTTGAAGGACAAAAGAAAATAAAAAGTGGTTAAAATTATATAAGAACAATGTAATCAACATGCCAAGTTACGAAATCATAGAACAATTCCTTATTGATTAAAAAAAATCACGAAAAACTTGAAAAATTTGCAGGTCTATATGTATCTCCCCCTTAAGATTTAGCGTGTGAAGGAAAGTCTCAACACGAGTTGCTAGGTGCACGTTTAAAAGGAGTGCTGATTCAACAAGTGAAGTAGATCTAGAATAATGACGACGACTTTTTAACAGACGACATTAACATTAGGGGATCAGATTGCAAGGCTAGCACTGATCCAACGGCACCCGATTTGTGAAAGGGGAGGGTAACAGCCACAAGCTGCCGATCGTACTTCGATTAAGTGCTCGAGTTAGGTACGTGGGAAACTTACGGGCAGCTAAGACAGATGACAGACGAAAACAAGAAAGGAAGTTAACTTCGGCCAGCCGAAGTTTATATACCCTTGCAGGTATGCCTACCTTAAATGTTGTTTTTACATTGTCAAAAATCCAAAAAGCCTACTTTCTATAAAGTTTTTTCTATTATTTTGTTAATTATTCCTATGGCAGCCATAAGATATAGTGGTCCTATCCGGCTCGTTCCGACATTTGTACTACCTGCAATAGAAAGAAGACTTTTGGTAATGTTTCATCGCGATAGCTTTAAAACTGAGGGACTAGTTCGCATAGAAACGGACAGACGGCTAGATGGACTCGGCTATTGATGCTGATCAAGAATATACATACTTTATGTGGTCGGAAACGTCTCCTTCACTGCGTTGCAAACATCTGACTGAAATTATAATACCCTCTGCAAGGGTATAATGACGATCTATATTATTTTTCCCAGACATTTTTAATGTTTCTTTCTGGTTATGCGGAAAAGGTTACATGCTTACCAAGAACCCAACCCATCCGTCGAGCTCAGCCGGCAAAATGGTGCCTGAACATCGGACTTATCTCCCTCGGCCCATGTCCTAAGGACAAAGCACTAATACGCCTACGTAACAGTCATTTAAATAACATCCACTAATTTTTATAGCCGATACTATCGGCTAATATTTATAAAATAAATTATCTTCTAAAGTTAAAAATGCGTTTTTCACCTAAAAAATTTGACTTTGGCCTAAAAAAAAAATTTAAAAAAAAAAAAAATGTGCGACTAATTTGAAAACGATCGGTTGAGCCGTTTAGAAATGGCGATGATCACGGACTTTAAAAACGTGGTTTCGAGAAAAATGCACTTAAAGATGCACTTAGGTACCTAAAGTTTAAGAGGTTAGGGTACCAATTTTGAGCATAACTTCTAAACTTTTTTTGTAGAATCTTAAAATGTTAATCTA